CTGATTATGTCTGCCGGAAGATCGGAAGAGGAACCCATGTGGTTCAGATTCCGGTGAGGTTTCAAGTCTTCCGACAAAGGGTTGAAATGGGTGGGTTGTTATAATACGACGGCGTTTTGTTGCCTCTAAATAATACATTTCTTTTGTATTTAAATTTCATACAATATTATGGGGGGTATAGTTGTCATTTCACGACAGGTTAACGAGTTTGAACGGAAATGGGGCAATGTGATGACGGTTTATAGTTGAGGGGGGCGTTTAATTTTAGTGGGAGCAATTTGATCGAAAATAAAAATAGAGGGGGGTTATGCGATTTTTTCCCCTTTATTAATACATTCTTATGGGGTCATTTTCTCAATCCGAAAGTCGGTATTTAATTGGTCCACTAAATGTTAATGGATCAAAATCGGAACCATCTAATAATTTATCCGTCCAAAGGCACTTCCTTCTCATATAAACAAACATATATACAGAAACCTGCTACGAAAATATATTAATGATGCTAATCAGCTGAAGGCTTTTCCCTTCCAACTGAAACCATACCCACTTTCCATTAGTTTAATTAATCATAGTAGAAGAACCTAACACCACTCCAATTAATTAATTTTAAAAAATTAAAATGAAATAATAAATCTGGGGATGAGCAAAACCTAGAGATGATGCACTAATAAACATAACCAATAATTCACAAAGTGCTCACAATAATGATTCATGCCATGTTCAGTGTACCATATAACAATATGCCAAGTACCAAGCCATACCACCACCATACTTAACAGGACATGCTAAAGCAAAACACAAATTAAGGATTAAGAAAATTAGTACACTCCCATTTTACCAAATTTTCAAAGCTACTCCAAATCTAGACTTCCGAACCTTAGCTGCGTAGTCCGTCCAGTTGAACAAATTTAACTGTTGCACCTTTGCAAAATCCCACTTTTAAATCTAAGTTGAAGAAGAAGAATGGCTAGGGTTTTCGTTTCTCTCTCTCCATTCCACGCAAAACACTTTTATCCCTATTTTAAAAAATGTGTAAAAAATATCGATAATCTTTTCACATTGTGCAAAAATATCCCCTCTGACATAAATTAGTATTGTAATACCCATTTTACTCTTTCACTCTTCCGAAAATGCCTATGGGGTATATATATTACTAATCTCATAGTACAAGGGTGTTATGTGCACATTACCATATATATATATATATATATATATAAAACTTTTTTCTCTATATATATCTCTAAACATTTTTTATAAAAAAAACTTTGAGAATTTGTAGAATAAGAATTTGAATTTTTTGAGATTCCAGTTTACTATTTTTTACTATTTTATTTATTTATTTTTTGTACCAACACCGTTAAAAAAAAAAATTCCAATTTTCGAAATTTGGAATAATTTTGTTTTCTTTAGTTTATACTTTATTTTTATCTTTATGTTTACTTTTCTTTTATACTCTTATACTTTTCTTTTATATTTTTATCTTTACATGTCCATTACTGATAAGCGCTGAAAAGTGCGCATTTAAACCCCTTAATCTTGAATATTCTAGGACCTTATTTTATATTATTTTTCCTTTTTAAGCTAATTTCATATTATTTCCCTTTTCAGGCACTTATCCCCAAAATAAGTCAATTCAGCTGAATCAGAGTATTTAAAGAAGCAATCTTGAGTATAGTGGAAGAAATGAGCAAAGTAGTGAAAATTCTTTTGCGATCGATGGGACCAAGCTATGATCGATCACAATGTGATCGTTCCAACCCTGTCATGATGGATCGAACCTTTTGTCCTTATCCTCAAGAAAATTTCTTATTCGATCGATCCAACCTTTCATTCGATCGATCGAACCGTTGATCTTATCCTCACCTACCACTTTTATCCTTTTCCCAAAACTATTTCAGCCTTGTCCTTATCCAAAAAGTGTTCTGATCGATCAGAGCAACCATGTGATCGATCGAACTGCCTCAAATTATGTAATACCCCTAATTTTAAAATGATAGTTCTAGTATTTTTAATTAAGTATTATGTTGCATTTTTAGTTATTTAATTATTTATTTGTGTGATATTTGAATTAATTGACTTTATATTTTTTTAATTGAATAAATGGACTTAATTGTCATTATTTGAATTGGTTGCATTAATTACATTATTGGATTTAACTTGTTTGATGGTGTGTCCTTAAGTGGTTTTTATAATTGTCTAATTATGTAATTAAGTTAAATAAGTTTTTTTTATTTTTATTATTTTTATTTTTATATTACGTTAATTACTTACAGTCTTTTGGAAGTCATGTATGTAGAGCCGTAAATTATAACTTAGGTACCGTATATTATAATTTAAGTTTTGTTCTATGGGCCGACTAGGATTTAATTAGGGTTTTTACTCTAATTATACATGGACTGGGGTTCTGTTTTAGCATATATATAGAATAGAATGGTCTGCTCGGGTTAGCAAAACTTTTTTTTCACGTACCTGGGATATTGAGAGAAAATAGAGTAAGGTTGTGAGAAGAACAGAGAGGGTACAGTCGGGATTTCGGCTGTGGATCACCCGACGGACCTAGGAGAAGGCAAGGTGGAATAATAGGAGGTTGAGTTGACAGTAGACAAATGTCGTCGGAAAAGCTTAGAAGGATGGCGACAAGGTTTTGGTTACAAAACTGTACAGGCAAGTTCTATTATGTCTCTCTCCCTTTGGCATGTGTTCTGTGCATCATTAGATGATCTCTATGATCTTAATTGGATATTAATTAAATATTACATACTTAACAAATGATAAATTACTCGTCTGTATGTATTTAGCTTAAACTGAAATGGTTTCTGAAAGTTGAACTATATTGCCTTTTGTTAAAACGTAATTAAATCAGCAATAGTTTTTATAGTTCTTTTTGATACAAACTGGTTGGAATGAATAACTGGGATATTATTGGATGCATATTAGACTCCTAAAGTCAATATAAATGAAGAACAGAGGGGTTGGAGTCAGCCAAAAACGATGTAGACGAAGCAAGAAGGAGTAGCGCTCTCAGAGAGTGGGAGAGAGCCGGCTCCAGGAGTTGGAAGCAGGCTCCCCTCTTCACAAAGCCGGCTCCAAGGTTATGGGAGCTGGTTCTAGGCTAGTTAGAGCCTACTCCATGGTTTTAAAAGCAGGCTCTGTGATCTTGTGGTGTACTGGAGCTTGGTTGCGCACTGTTTGGTTCAAATTAGGTTGTTCTGAGCTATGTTTGGGCTATTGGGATGGTTTAAAACATTAATTCATGGAGTATTAAAGCCCTAGGATGCATCAATTTATTTATATGTTAATGTTTTAAAAAAATAGGAAAGTATAAGACAAGTCGCATGCTGTTCACGGACGTACGGATACGAAGGATTTAATTGCTCAAACTGTGTTTAGCAATTAAATGGATTTAAACATGGATTCCAAATATTATACCATGCTATATTAGAGCCACATTTAAGAAACTAATGTCTTTGTGCTCATGGATTTAACCGTAGGAAAGTATACAACGGTGCAGACTGTTAACGGATGGAAGGAGTTTAATTGTCTAATTTAATTTTAACAATTTAACGGAATCTATATTTGATTATAAATCTTATTTTGGTTGCATGCTAGGGTCATATATTTATTAAGTTTGATCTGTGCATACCTTGGATGTTAATGGTTGAAATATTAAATTCTTCTCTGCAATATATGGATTTAAGCTTGGGATTTTAATTGCCGTAATATTAAGCACTACTCTGCAATTATTTGGATTATGGTTTGGACTTAAATTGCTGAACTACTACTTAGGTTCTGTCAATTTTATGGTTGTTGGCCTGGAGTTAATTGAAGAATTAATTATATATTTTATGTCAATTACCTGGATGGATGCTGGATTTTAAATTGGCAAACAATTAAACTTGGTCTTGTTAATTACATTGTTATTAGTATGGATATTTAGTTGATGAACTATTTCAAATCTGTATTTATCAACTATGTGGATTAGATGGACTTTATTTGATGTACTGCTTAAAATGTTGTATCATTTACGGATCATTTGCATGGTATACACCGGTATGGGACGGTGGCAAACGGAGGGACAGATTAGGTCATAACGCTAATTCCTATCCATTCATACATATGGAATGGATTAACTAAAACTGTTACATCCTACATGGTTTCATATCCTGTCAACTAAAACAGTTGAATGACATATTGGATGGTTGTTTATATTTCTGTAATAGGAATGATAGGAATTTAATTAAAACATTTAAATCCTAATTATGTGTCGTGTCTAGACGACGAACAGTTGCCCGACACAACATATTATTTGCAGGGAATTTATATACATATAATTTATGTTAGTCTGTGCGGTTGAACAAGCTGAATGACTAACTAGGTTTCTTATGGATGGATAGGATCGGACTTTAAATATATATTTATGGTACCGCGGTATGAACTTGAGTCTTAGGATCGTCGGTTAGGGAGCATATATGCAGTAGGATGCGTAGCTGGCTATGCTGGTTGAGGTATATGTAATACCCCTACTTTTAAAAGGATAGTCTCAGCATTTTAATTTTTATTTTAGGGCAAATTTCGTAAAACCCCCAAAACTATCAATAAGTGATCATAAAACCCCAACTAGTTTTTAAAACCCCCAATAATATAATAAAGTTATCATTTTACCCCAACTTTGTTAATTGGGACCGTTAACCCAGCGCGTGGTTAACAATTGCTTTGACAATTTGACTTTTGTGACGAAAATACCCCTACTATCACATGTGCCAAACAAGTTATGTGTATTTAAATCTGTTATACCGAAAATAGCCCCAACTATGTAATAGATAAACCCACCAAAGTTAACTTCACGTTTTACCAAAGTTAACTTCACTATGAATTTACCGGTTTTTAAATTTCAATCATCGTCCTCTTCGCTCTCTCCCGGAGCTATTGCCGGAATTACAATTACATCTGTTGTATTCATTGTTTGCCTATCTAGGTTTTACTGATTTTAGCGAAAGACTATGAAAGAAGAAGATGATGAGATTGAAGATTGGGAGCTCGAATACTGGCCGCACAGATATTCATACGAAGAGCTTAGTGAGGCCACCAATGGCTTCTCCAAAGATGAGCTTCTCGGGACTGGTGGGTTTGGCAAAGTATACAAAGCAACACTACCCAACAACACAGTCGTCGCCGTGAAGTGCGTGAACCACTATTCGAAGCAGGGTTTGAAAGAATTCATGGCGGAGATTTCGAGTATAGGTCATCTTCAATGCAAGAACTTGGTTCAAATGCGAGGTTGGTGTCAAAAGGGCAACGAATTGATGCTCGTGTACGATTATATGCCGAATGGTAGCCTGAATCGATGGATATTCGACAAACCCAAGACGCTTTTGGGTTGGGATGATCGGAGAAAAATTCTCGCCGATGTTGTAGAGGGCTTGAACTATCTCTACCATGGTTGGGACCAAGTGGTGATTCACAGAGACATTAAGTGGAGTAATATTTTGTTGGGGTCTGACATGAGAGGTCGGTTGGGTGATTTTGGTCTAGCGAAGTTGTATACACAAGGGGAGGTGCCGAACACGACGAGAGTGGTGGGGACTTTGGGATATTTGGCGCCGGAGCAAAAATATACAGAAATTTGCCCTAAAGGATGAGAAATTATTGTATGAGGCAGCACCATTCCAAGTCACAGTCGCTATCGCCGGCGAGCCCTCTCAGGTAATTGCAGATTCCCTCCCCATTCCAGTTCACCGTACTCCAAATTCGCCTATTTGACTGCAAACCAATAAATCTTCGAAGCCACTTACAGAGTGATGAAGATTCACATCGTCGATTTTGGGATCGGGCGATGGCGGAGCTAAACTACGAAGCCAATGATCAGCGTTGAACAGAGATCGGCGTTGGTGACCATAGGGGAAGACTCCAGTGAAGGCGACAATGGTTCATACAATAATTTGTCCTAAAGGATAGTATTGGCACTAAACGTGGTCGTTTTGACCTAAAGGATAGTATTGTAATTTCAAAAATATGATTTTTTAGTTTTTAAAATAAAAGGGAATATAATAAGGGTAATTTAGTCATTTCACATACCCTTAACCCCCAATTGACAGAGTTGGGGTAAAATGATAACTTTATTATATTATTGGGGGTTTTAAAAAGTGGTTGGGGTTTTATGATCACTTATTGATAGTTTTGGGGGTTTTACGAAATTTGCCCTTTATTTTATTGTTTGTTTTTTTTTGGTTAATTGCTAATTTTTGGTTGTTTAATTATTTATTTGTGTTTATTAATTGATATTTGACTTAAATTGATATTTAATGGTTTTTTGTGCATTGTTTGGTTTATTTAAGTTATTAATTGTTGTGTGCTATTTTCGTAAATTATTAATTGTATTATTCTATTTGTAATTCACTGTTTTAAGATTAGGTTATTAAATTAGTGTAATTATTGTAATTAAGTTACGTGAGTTTTTTTTTTCAAATACATTAATTTACTTACGGTTATTTTGGACGTCACCTAAGTGTAGCCGACATAAATTTTAAACGGAGGTTTTGTTATATGGGCCGAGTTAGGGCTCTGTCTCTAATAGTACAAGGATTAGGGTTTTGGGGTTAAGCTTATAAATATACCATTATACTTTAAGTCTAGGGTTTACGATTATAACACTTAGCTCATAGACGTAAACTGAGTTTTGTAAAAATAGATGGTTGAGAACAGAGCACTTTAAGGTCTATCAAGGAGAAGAATAGGGAGGACCAAGGGGGTGTGGTGGTGGACTATCTAGAACCAGAGGAGGCTTGACAGTGGTTCAGTGTTGCCGGAACAGTGGACACGACGCCGAGATTTCATAACTGAAATCATAGGCCAGTTCTTTTCTTTCTCCTTCCCGTTGGACTGTGTTCTGTGCACCTAGATATGCTCTAGGGTTTAATGGATCAATAACTGAATCGTGCATGTTTTTATATGTCAATTTAATCATATGTATGCTCTAAATAAATTTCGTAATGGTTTCTGCAAGTTTGGTTACAGTAATTGTTTTCTTAAGCATGTTTTAATCGGTAAGTGATAAAGAAGTTTAATGACGTAAACTGGACTGACTAATGAATTTGGATGATACTGGACACACTTAGGACATCTAGGTTTAGGTTTAAAATAAACAAAAAGGGTTGGCAACGGCCGGAGACAAAGAAGAAGGTCGCAGAAATTGCAGACGCAGCAGACGGCTCTCAGAGAGGGAGACTTATTATAAGACTTATTTTAAATGCATGATAAGGTCATTTATTTATTAGTTTTGATCTATGCATGCTCTAGATGCTAATTGTCAGAATACCTATATTTTTCTGCAATTACATGGTTTATTGTTTGGATTTCAATTGCTAGAATATTAAATATTTTCCTGCAATTATTTGGAGTATGGTTTGGATTGTAAATTACTAAAAATCTATTTATGTGTTGTAATTTACATGGATATGGAGGAATGTATGCACCGGTATGGGACGGTGGCATACTAGGGATGGTTTAACTCAAAACGCTAAGACCTAACCTACCGGATTAAAGGAATGGATTATAAAACATTGAATCCTAAATTGTGTTTAAGTCAGATCAACTGACTAAGTTGAATGACTTCCTAGTTTAGTTGGTTGCAGTCAAGTCATATCAGCTGAATAAGTTGAGTGACTATCTGGACTGTGTTTTGTATGTCTCCTCAATGAATAATTGAATGATATACTCTGGATTTGGACAGACTTTAGATATATGGTTATGGTACCACGAGATAAGCTTGAGTCTCAGGCTCGTTGGTTAGGGTGCGTATATGCAGTGGATGCGTAGCTGGATATAGTAGGTAGGTGTACCCTATTAGGTCTAGGTACTCATGCCTACCTTTGGGTACATTTTCGCATGTTGCCTTCTATTCAGATTGAGACCCCTATTATAGTCCAATGAATGTCCCTTAGTGTGGATATATATATATATATATATGTATGGACTAAATAGATATTGTGAGGTATCAAGGGTATATCTGCATATCGGGTCACTGTATGGATTGCAGTTAGATTAGAACTTGTTCGTGGGCCTGACCCACTCCTTTATTCTTTTCAGGTACAGGACAGTTCCAGCCTGAGAGCTTGATCGTGCTAGTTGAGGACAGTTTCTCATTCATCGAATTACGTAGGATTTCTTTTTATGATCTAGCTTAGTTTTATTTTTTAGTTAAGTTGACATTTTTATTTAGGGGTCCACTAGATGGATTCCTAAGTTGTACTCATGGAGGTTTTGGATTTGGAGTATTTTTATTCAGTTTTATTTGGAGGATTTTATATTTTTTATTTTCTTTCAGCTTTGTAATTTAAATTCTTAAATCTTTATATTCTGTGTTTGCTTTAAAATACTTTAATTGTTTGATATTCCCTCGGGTTTGGGCCTGGGCCTGGGCCTGATCAACCCGTGTCTCGGATCCGAGGGTATCACAGTATACCCTGTTAGGCTTAGGTAATCATGCCCACTCAGGTGCGTTTTGCATGTTGCCTTCTATTCAGGTTGAGACCCTCGTCATAGTCCAGTGAGAGTCCTGTAGTGTGGATATATATCTATTTACGGACTATATAATTATGGTTGAGACATCTAGGATGTATCTGCGTATCAGGTCTCTGTTTGGATTATAGTTAGGATAGAACTTGTTCATGGGCCTGACCCACTATTATTTTTTAGGTAACGAACGGTTCCAGGTCTTAGAGCTTGTTCGTGCTGAGCAGAGACGGCTACTCATTCTACCGACGACGTAGGAGGTTTCTTCATGGTTTAACATTGGACTTCTTTTTGGTTGTTCGGTTTCCAGTGTTGGTTTTTATTAGGGGTCCACCAGATGGATTCCCGAGTTGTATTAAAAATGGAGAAGTTGGATGTATCAGAATAATTTTCTTATTTATAAAATTTTATTCTGAGGTTTCAGTTTTGGATTATCTTCTTAGTTTCAGTTTAGCATTTTTATTTATTTCTCTTTAGCTTAATTGTATTTTGTGTTCGTTTATTGCTAATTGGTTTGATATCCTCGGGTAATCGGGCGTGGGCCTGGCCAACCCGCAACCGAAAATCTGGGGATATCACAAATTGCGTGCAAAACAGATTTCAAGCCTAATTAAAGGTGTGCTCGTGGTGCAATCATTTGGAGGTCCTAGTGCACGAGGTCTAACCATTGGGTGTGACATTTGAGCTACCTATATAAAGAATATGGCTAATTTTAGCAAGGAGATTGGTTAGTTAAAGAAAGGTTAGTTAGTTAGAGAGAGAATTGACTATAGTTTGAGATATAATTGGCTAGAGATTAGAAAGAGAAACATATATTTTGGGAAAGTTCTTCCATTCTTCTATGGTTTCTACCAAGAACACCAAGGGAGGAGGATGAATTCTACCATGAAAATAGCCCTTGAGGGTTGGATGACAACATTAATAAGTGGCTAAACTACTCTTTTGGGTTTAGAGATAGCCCTAAGCATGTGTGATACGTCTCGGATCCGAGACACGAGTTGATCAGGCCCAGGCCCAAACCCGAGGGAATATCACACAATTAATATTTTTAAAATGAACACAGATGACAAAATGAAATAAGAATAAATATTAAAAACTGATTAATACTAAAATAAAATCCTTTAATGATAAAAACTTAAAGCCCAATAATCCAAAACCTCCAATAGATTAAATAACTCGGGAATCCATCTTTAGTGGACCCCTAATAAAAATCCAAACTGAAATAAAACAACTGAAAGAACATCCTGATATAAGCTATGGAGAAAAGTCTTACGTCGTCGGTAGAGTGAGTAGAAACCTTTGCTCAGCACGAATACGTCTAAGTCTAGAACTGTCGTGTACCTGAAAAATAGAAGCGGGTCAGGCCCATGCACAAGTTCTATACTACTCCAATCCAAACAGAGGCCCGATATGCATGTATATCCTAAACAATTCAACAATAGCTAATAGTCCGTAAATATATATATAGTCACATTAAAGGACTCTCACTGGACTACAGGCCGGTCTTAACCTGAATTGAGATAACATGCTGAAACGCACATGAAGTGGGCATGTGTACCTAAGCCTAAACAAGGTACACCTCCAACCATCGTATCTAGCTATGCATCCCAATGCATATATATTCCCTAACCGTCGATCCTGAGACTCAAGCTCATATCGAGGTACCATAACCATATATTTAAAATCCATCCTGTATCCTAGTAGTGTCGCTCAACTAATCGTTGCCATGACACTACAATCAATAGGACTTAACTTTTAGTTAATCCAATTCTTAATCCCGAGTAGGTAGGTTTTGGTATTTTAAAACCAAACCGTCCCTAGTATACCACCGTCCCATACCGGTGTATACTATCCAATCATCCAGCAGTTGATAATATCAACAATTAAAGTAAACATCAACTAAATCCACATCTCCATCACTGATACTAACAGGCATAATGTAAGCATCAATAAACACAATCAGCTATATACATAAACATGTTCAGTTTTATATCCATCACTGACACTAACAGTTATAATGTAAGCATCAAGAAACATAGTCACAGTATATACATAAACCTACTCAGTTTAGGTTGTTCCATAAAATCTGATCTAGTGCTAAATTTAAATTCTATTAGCATTCAACATCCAGCAGTTGATAATACAATCAGTTAATATAACCATTAACTAGGTCCCTCCTTCCAGCAATTGATACTAGCAGTGGTAAGATAAGCATCAACAACAGAACCACAGTATATACATAAACATGCTTAGTTTAGGTTGTTTTACAAAATCCCGTTAGTGCTAAGTTTAAGACTTAATATCATTCAACACTAACACATCCTAGACAAGTATAATTAAGTTACATGCTCATGATATAGAGTTAAACATATTCTAATTATATCATCCGTCTCAAAAGATTTCTAACGCAAAGAGAGTTAAACATTACTAGTTTCACAGATTTAAACATAGTGTAACTACCTGATTAAGTCCCTACTGTCCAAGCTATTCTAAGCAAGTAGACTTAATTAACACCACATCTGAAGCTTTAATCTAACCATATACATCAATTAGACCTTCCATATTCAATCCCGCACTCAACTGAAAACTCCAGAATCAACTACTTCATGCAAAAACTGACTGGAAAACGCAAAAAAATGAAAATTCACAAAGGAGACGTCTCCCAAAATGTGGGGCCGCCTCCTTTAGGCCTTGGAGCTGGCTCCCACACTTGGGAGCCGCCTCCAACTCCAAGGGAGCCAGCTCTCTCCCTCTCTGCCTCGTCTCTTCGTCTTCCCTCTTTTTCAGACGAATTCTGCAACTTCTCTGCCCTATGCTATGGTTCCCAGAAGTTGTAACTCAAACCCAGTAGGTTCCTAGTCCATGTTTAAGTCTTTAATACATTCCATACATAGGTTTAAATAGAGAATTAAACAAGCAAATAACATATTTTAACAGGTTTCGCAAGCAAGCAAACATACTGTGATAATCCAAGTTTTAGCATAAACAGATAACATTTTTAATGATTAAATCAATCTTAGAATTATTTAGGAATGCAAAGAACACGAAGCCTAAGGGAGAGAGTAAGGATAGAACTTGCCTTACACCGACGTTCGTCTCAAATTTCCGGCGAATCATCTGTTTGCTCTCTGTTCTTTCCCAGCCGTCTCCAAAACTTTTCTCAGCCTTACTATGTCGTAGTATTCTTCTAAAACCCTAGGCAGACATCCTAGGTGAGTATTTATAGGCCACCCTAATCCTAGGCTCTCTTAAACCCTAATTTGATTTACTCGGTCCATAGAGAAAACTAGGTTATATTCAATGTCGGCTGTTTATGTACACTGTAAACCCAATGAAAAGCTATACACAGTCACGTTGAAAAATAATTAACGAATTAACTTAAACTAAATCAAGTCCATTTAAACAATTAAATTAGGTAGTTAAATCGGTAACTTTAAGTAAATTAATTCAATTAAAACAACCAAAATAATTAACTATAATTAAATCAATTAAATTAGAACAATTCGATAAGTAAATTCAATTAAATCACAACACTGAAAAACCATTAAATAATAACCACAATTAAAGCAACAAAATTACACATATGCACGACAATAACTAAAATTGCAAATTAAACAATAAATTAAATACCAGGACTATCCTTTTGAAATTAGGGGTATTACAGCATACCTCCTAGAACTTGATGATTTGTAATTAGCGGGATTTGTGTTATAAATCTTGTTTTGACCTCTTATGTATATAAATCTTGTTTCTATATGATTTGTGTAGTTTTATACTTCCAATTGATCTTTTACTTCTATTCATATGTCTATGTGTGTTAGAATAAATAGTCATGTGCTTATTTCTAGATTTTGTGACATTGATGCATGTCTATGTGTGTTAATATTATGAATCTAATGATGGTCAAGGCATGGTGCTTAATGGATTATTCTTGTGGTTTATTTGATGGTTCATGCTTATTTCTTGATAGATTGTACCACATCTTTAGCTTAATTAATTTAATTTTCATGCCATTAGCATAGTTGTAGTGTAATTGCTTTAGTTTCCTAAATAGGTGGACATTCCATTCTTGTTATTTGATGATCTATGCTTATGAGTACAAGTAATATATTTCTCTAATTTCTTGATTGTGCATTGATTGTGGGCTTATGGAATGATTAATGGCTTAATTTGATATATTGTGTTATTCACTAGATTGATTAGATAATGTATGCTTACTTGGCCATCAAAGTTTAATGTTTCAATTAATGGCACACGCTCCTTTTGTAACATATAATCCCCCTAATTTATCAAATGTTAAATGTTAAGGAAGGCAATGCTTAGTGATGAACTCTATATCCCAAGAATCCTCTCTCATTCTCTACACCTCATTTGTTTTAGTTGTTTTACATTGCATTGCTTTACCTTAAATTGTAGTATAATTCAACCAACAAACCCATATTTTGATCATTCGACCTACTAATCTAACATTGATTCCGAAGTACCGTTCCTTTCCATCGGGAAGATCCCTACTCACTCTTGCTACGTTAGTAGTTAGTAATAGTAGTGGCATTCTACAAATTTAAACTTGGCCACACTTCATCACACCACTTTTGTGAGCTTTGGTCGAGCAACACCAATTACCAGTTTTCTCCAATAGTGTCATTTTCGATCATTTATAAAATTATTTATTTTTATATATTTTATAAAATGGTTCAGTAAGGTTAATTTAGTCAACTTATGATTTAAATTTGTCAAGGGACCTATTTGCACAAAATTGAAACTTTAAGGGTGTTTTTTGCACGTGAAGAGAGTGATACGCACCGTAAACATTCTTTAGGGATATTTTCTGATCCTTATATATATAGCACAACGCCAATATCAGTAACACACCCAAATGAGGTTTGTACCATTAGCATGTGGTCTAAGTCACTAACCAAAATTTCCTAGCAATGACCAATATTGTTGCGTCCATATAAACGATTCAATACTGATTAAGTCCTTAAGGTCTCAGGGGCATAGCGGCGTTGACAGGGATTGAGGAGATAAATCCTTGAAATCTTGGCTTTCGAACCACACTATTGACTTAAATGATGCGTGTGCTATGGAGCCGATACACGTACTGTAAAAAAAAAAAAAAAAATTAAATAACAAATATATCCACTAACCCAATTCTAAAATTTAATTACTTTAATTTATTAAATTATAACTAGAACATGAAAATTCTTGTAACCATAATAATAATAATAATAATAATTATAATAAGGGTTAAGTGTAAAAACCTCCTGATATATAGGATTTATGCAAAACTAATCCCTACTTTTTTAAAATGTGCATGTTAGTTCATAAAATTCAAAAAGGTGCAAATAAGTCCCTCTAACCACTTTTTGACAAAAACTAGATATGAAAATCCTAGTTTACCCCTTTGATCCCCATTTTGCCCCTCACCCATATGTGCATATAACCCCATCCTTATACCGATTTCCTTGCCCCCTCCTCTCTCTAGCGTTCTTATGAGATATATATATATATATATATATATATATATATATATATATATTAATTCCTTATATTTTTAAATTTTTTTTTTATCAATTTAATAGACACAAAATAAAATAATAATTGTAATTAAAATTATGTTAGGGTAACGTACAAGGCTCTTACTTCCTAAAGGGAGGTTAGGGGTTCGAACCTCAGTGGAGGCAGTGTGTGTGAGTCCCAACTAGGAAAAAAAAAAAAATGAAACTAAGAACTCGGCTGCACCGGAAGCTTCCATGCACCGCTTGTTGGCTTCGTTTTCGGAAGCAATTGATCTTAGTTTTCTAAGACATTGCATGTGGTACTGTAGAGATTTGACATTGTTGACGAGTTTGAGAATCTGGGTTTTCTGACTAGTGGCTTCGGGGTTGGGAAGGTTCAATGTGTATGAAGCGTTAATGGTGCACCATGATTGGATCAATCGGCTAAGGGTGGTTCAGGGTCATATCTGGATCGAAGAGAACTTGTTTGGTGACCGGACATGTGTTGCTTTTTCCTAAAAATATCCATTTTTCGATGCTCTCTCGATCACATGTTATGTCGGTTGGAACAGTCACCGGATCTTTCATAATTTCTAGAGAGATGGGACACAAAAAATAAGGAGGAACTTCAATTTCAGTACTGATTATAAGTAATGCAAAGAACAACTAGCTCGATCAAATTTTATCCAATAAATTAAAATCTCCTAGATCGATAGATGACAAGTTGGATAAAATAAGAAAAACCTAGAAAGTTTAGTTGATGAAAATGATTATATAAAGAGAAAATAAGAGAAAATTTGAGTTTGAAAGTCGATTGTGAAGTTGTTGGAGAGGTTGTGGATTTTGGTTTGAAGAAGTTAGGAGTAGAGGGGGTTGGTTTTATATGTGATTCAAAATGGGGAAATCAAAACACGAAAAAACGAGAGAGAAAGAAAGAGGGGCATGGGTAGTGGGAGGAGGTGGGAGGAGGCGGCATGGGTAGTGGGAGGAGGTGGTTGTTTGGTTTCGGTTTTTATTATATCCAGTTTTAGGTTTCTTTGGTTTAGCTTATCCTAATTTTATATAAATTGGGGTTTATTTTATTCTTGCTCCAAACAAACACAATTTTACACAAATTGGACAAAAAAGTCATTTTACATTACTTGTATTCATAATTATTAATTTATTCAACTGAAATGAGGGTATTATCGTCATTTTATATTATACAGGAACCTATTTGAATCAAATTCTCACATGAACTTTTTTTTGTACAATATTGATGACAAAGGAGTTTTTTTTGCACGTAACCCTAATAATAATAATAATAATAATAATAATAATAATAATAGAAATAGTAATATATATATATATATATATATATATATATATTTTTTTTTTTTTTACGGTTCTTTACATCCTAGTAGAAAAAATCGACTTAACCCTAACAGGTCGTCTCACCGTAATAATCTCTCTCTACGTCACCACTCCACAGTTTCTCTCTCTACTTCACCTTGCATCGGCGTTGATCACACTATGTTTTCTTGATTGATCTCTCTGTTGCCCTCCATTCATTTTCGTAACAGTGTATTTCTTCGTTCTCTCTCTATTTCACTCTCTCTCCCTAGGTCACGGAAGCAGAGTTTTCTTGGAAGTAGAGTTTTCTTGAATTTTCCCTGCCTTCACCATGTCAGACTACTACATCCCTGACGATCTGCTCATCGACATATTATGCAAAATTCCAATGAGTGATCTTTTGAATTTTCGACGTGTTTGCAAATCTTGGGCTTCTCTGATAAGCAGTCATGGATTTGGGATCGTTTCATTTAATAGCAACAAGGAATTGAATCGTATTCATCACCTTCTAGTCAGGTACTGCTCTACACCTCCTGAAGTTCAACAATTTTTTTTTGTCTGTTGATGGTTCTGATATCATATGAGATGCCGATCTCCGTATTCCGATCCCTCACAATGTGCTTTGCAAAATTATTGGATACTGCAATGGTTTGGTTGCTTTAGTTCATTTGGAAGGAATGACGGATGTGATTCGCATATGGAATCCAACCATTGGTAGGTCAATAATGGTTCCTGAGTCAAATTTACATTCTCTAGTGAATACCCAGTCTTCTGCTCCCAAAGCTATCAAATGTTCATTTATGGTAATAATCAGTCTATTCAGTCTGCCAACTCCCACTAGTTTTGCAAAACGAGCATTGTCAAACGCAAACTCACATAGAACTGTCCAAGTGTTCTCTTTCTTAGCCCACATCAGAACTTTTCCTTCAAGATTACTGTGATTTTCTAATATGAAAATTGATCCCTGAAATTCAGCAATGGATAATTTTCCTGGCACCCAATTCTTATTTAATGAATCTGGGAGATCCGTAATAGAAATATGGGTATTAAAGGCCATAATTCCAAGAGGGAATCGACCACCACCACACAGCCAATGAATATACCCTTTGGCATAGCCCGATGACTTCTCGCAGCTCATGTTCAAAGTTACATCACAACCTTTAACCGACCAATCACCTCGTCTCAGTGACCAGTTTCTGATTGTTTGTTGCATCGTAGTAACCAAAACCGAATACTCTTTGGTATTCACTAGAGAATGTAAAATTTGACTCAGGAATGGTTGGATTCCATATGCGAATCACATCCGTCGTTCCTTCCAAATGAACTAAAGCAACCAAACCATTGCAGTATCCAATAATTTTGCAAATCACATTGTGTGGGATCGGAATATGAACCATCAACATAGAGACAAAAAAATTGTTGAACTTCAACCGTGGAGATCTATTCACTAAGATGAGGTGATTGGTCGGTTAAAGGTTGTGATGTAACTTCGAACATGAGCTGCGAGAAGTCATCGGGCTATGCCAAAGGGTATATTCATTGGCGGTGTGGTGGTGGTCAATTCCCTCCGGGAATTATGGCATTTAATACCCATACTGAAACAATTTCTATTACGGATCTCTTAGATTCATTAAATAAGAATTGGGTGCCAGGAAAATTATCCATTGCTGAATTTCAGGGATCAATTTTCATATTAGAAAATCACTGTAATCTTGAAGGAAAAGTTCTGATGTGGGCTAAGAAAGAGAACACTTGGACAGTTCTATGTGAGTTTGTGTTTGAGAATGCTCGTTTTGCAAAACTGGTGGGTTGGCAGACTGAATAGACTGGTTATTACCATAAATGAACATTTGATAGCTTTGGGAGCAGAAGACTGGGTAATCAAGGAAGAGGATGAGGAAAAGGTGATTTTTGTTAATCCACATGGTCTAAATATGAGTCCTTTTGAGCTAATTGGATCGGATGATGCTTTTTGGGCACACAGTTTCAAGAAGAGTTCTTTTTCTCATGGACAAAAAGAATGTTGTTTTGGGAGAGTAGGCTTGGCACTCCGTTCGTCAAGCATGGTATGTGAAACTGCTGACCATTGTTTACATTTCAACATTGTCTTATAATTTCATGATTTATTGAATTTATTTTATTTCGTAAAAATGCATCACTATTGAGGTCCCTTGAAGTTCGAGGCTGTGGTCGTTCCCGATGGGATAGTCAGTAGCTTCAACGTAGGGGGAGAAACCCCAAAATCTTAGTGAGCTATGTCTTATAGGCAAAGGCACCTGAAAGCCTTCCCCCGGCTCCCGGGGTACAACAGTAATGAAGTTAGCTGAAATGAACTACTCAATTCCTATAGAATGAAGGAGAGAGAAAGAACAACTAATTATATGAAACAATGTCTTATTTATAGGAACTGCTGCTACAAGTCCGGGTTACCTCAGAGATAGAGCCATTAGGGAAAAAAATCAACCTAGTCAGCGCACTAACTCAAACCTAAAGTAATCCCTTCCGATACTTGTTATCCCTCTTTAAATGTTTCTGACACTCCTATAAATTGAACACAACCTATGGAGGTTCATGTCCTATTTGTCAAGCTTTCTTACCTTGTCAGAATATATATACTTAATTTATCTAAATGTCTTCATAAAATCACCAATGAAAATTCATTACTTTTAAATCTGGCTGCATATTACATTAGCTTAACATGCTGCACATTTTCAGTGCTTTTGCTGGCCTTTATACCAAGGCTCTGTGCTTTATTTCCGTACATTGTGGTTTATTTTGTTTTACTTTTCACTTATTTCAATGTAATCACCATTGAAAATCGCATTTCTTCTAAATTTGGCTGCATATTACATTAGCTTAATATGCTACACATTTCCGGGTCTTTTACTGGTCTTTATACCAAGGATCTTGCTTTATTTCCCTACTTTGTGGCTTATTTTGTTGTCTTTCACTTTTTTTAATGTAATCTTTGCATGATATGGAATATATTGTATGTTTTTGCTCATTTGCTGTATTAGTAATGGATTTATTTGACCATTCGATTTGTCTATGACTCTGTTCTATATTGTTACAGTGCTATATAATTTTTTATTTTTTTTCCATTCCCTTGACGATTTACATGCTTTATGTGCAAGACATGTGAATTTCATTTCCTCCGGACAAATCCTATTTACATGCTGCTACTTTATGCCATATAAACTCTTTTTTTGTCAGTGAAATCCTATTTTCATAGTAATTTGATCTCTCCAATTATTCGAATCAATAAATATTTGTCTTAATTGTGTGTATAATTTCAAAACTCAGCTACTTGAGCATTTGTTGTCATACTTATATATACAAACATATAGGTAACATGCATTGGTTTCAGACACCCTTGATTGATGGTTCATGTCATGTGTCTTAAATTCTTAATAGCTCCTCCAGAAGCCATTTTTTCCCTTCTCCATAAGCAGTTTAGTGGGGTTTGTAGGAACCTCAAAGCTATGAATGCTGAGTACGGAAGATATATAGCAAAACAAAATAAAAATGATAGGTTTATTTGTTACCAACCTCTCAAATATGTTTGATATCTCTCATGCAAAGGAGTGTGAAGTGCTTTACTGTCATTCATTTTGTATATGTTACACAGCCTGTGATCCCTTTTATATTCTTAAGATGATGGTCCCTGAACAAAAAATAATAATAATAACAATAATAGAAATTCTAACCTAGCTCCTTACTAATAATGTTGAAAACAATATATATCTTCAACACCAATAGCAATTGACCAAGCTAGCTGTTGACAAAAAAAACAAAGAAAAAATAAAATTAGGAATTATTATAAAATAAAATAAAATTTTCTCCTTCAAAAAAACATATAGATCGATAATTAAAAAATAATACAAAGTAATTGTTTCAATGTTCAGTTTGACTTTTAGTACAGCAGCAAAAAAAATAAAAAAAAATAACTCTTTGTGATAAATACATCTGACTTGACTGAAAACATTATTGTAGGAAGAAAATTAAATACATGTCATGATGAGAGTTTATCCAAAATAAATGAACTCAAAGATGAAACCAACTCCCATGGAAAAGAAGACAAAGATGAAGTGAAGATAAAGTTAAGACTAATATATAGTATTAGTCATTGTTTGATTCGATCTGAAACTAAATTGAACAACTATTTATTTATTGGCAATGAGGTAGGATGGTAGGAGGTTTGGGGAAAGGAAATAACATAGGGTGAGGAAAGATCTTACTCTTTACTACTCAGACAATACCGTAACATTTAAATTGAATCATTAAGAAACCGAATCAAAAGCTTAGTACAATTCATGAGGGTAAAGTTCTAATAATTTTTTTTGCACCCCTAAATTTAAACTAGGAAAACAGCAAACCGAGAGAGGGGTTGGGCCCAGTAGCCCATCTCACTTCCATTTTTCAGCAAGTAGCACACAGTGAATAATGGAGAACCTTTTTCTTTTTTTGGTTTCGGGAGGAGACATAGAATATATAAAGTTCCAAAAACACCATTTCTTTATTATGAATGAATATCTATGGATGTGACTAGTAAATCAGCCATTGAAAATCAAATTTGTTTCATACCCACGAAAAATTAACAAAAACCCACTTCAATTAAACCTAAACAAATCTGGAAAAAAAAAAAGAAGACGACCAATTCATGGTGATCAGATGGACTTGGGACATAAAATTACCTTGGGGTTTGCAATTGGGTGGATCTTCAAAGAGCGAAGGAGAAAGCTGCTTGTGAGCGACACCAATATCAAACAAGATAAGACCTGACTTTGGATCATTGACAATGATGCCCTTTAGTGGTAACCATAGAAAAAGCTATTCCTGAGACATACCCTGTTCTCCAGTGAGATCACCATATGTCAAATTGGCCCTCACAACGCTTTCATAGAAGGCCATGGTGTCGAATTTGGTTAAACAAGGGCCATCTAGGATAACCTCCAGAAGCCCAGATTCAGAGAGAGTGTAGTACTGGACTTCCTTGGGAAGGAGATCAGCAGGTAAGCCTTTGGTTCTGAGGAGGTCATGGATAGACATGGACTGAGACAGAGGTAAAGAGAGGAGGAGACCCAGTAGGCTTAAAACAAGAGGGAAGATGTTTTGAAGGGATGCCATTAGTGAGAGAGAAATTGTGTAGAGAGAGAAAGAGAGGCAGGGGTTTTAGGGGGTGGCTTACTACTGAGTTTGGGGAAATGAGGAGAGAGGGAGTTTAGAAAGTGAAAACACGAATTTAAAAGGATCCAAGAAACAGTCTTTCAAATTTGCCCCTGGTGGGCAGGGTGGGGGGACCAAGGGTTTAATTTGGTTTTAATTACTTTGATTAATGTTATAACAAAATGGGCTTAAGGTTTGGGGCTTTGTGCGTAGGCTAAGATCAAGAAAGTCAAGCATTTGACCAATGCTTGAATTTGAATTGATCATATTTATAATCCTAGATTTTTTTTTTTTAAAACTTGGCAATAGGGTTTCGGAATCAAACTCCGTTTTTTTAGTTTGATTGGAGTATTGGACCTTACAATGGTAGAACTTGGAGAAGCTAGTGTATAACTTCCCAACCTTATGTGGAACTAGTGTAATGGGTTGAACCAGAAGACAAAGTTTGTAATCTCCTCCTCAAATAAAGTTTCAAAATTAAACTATCTCTCTTCCTCTCTCCTCCTGATTCAGATCCTTCTGTTCAAATATAGTCAACATTGTCTTATGATTTCACTAAAATGTTCAAAATCATTTCGATTTCTTTTTTAAATAGTTTCATCATTCATTACACAACTATAAAAGCAATGTTAATTTCTTGAATTTATTTTATTTCGTAAAAATGCATCACCTGTTGTTGAAGTTCGAGGCTACGATGGTGGTTGTTCCCGATGGGATAGTCAGTAGCTTCAACGTAGGGGGAGAAACCCCAAAATCTTAGTGAGCTATGTCTTATAGGCAAAGGCACCTGGAAGCCTTCCCCCGGCTGCCGGGGCACAACAGTAATGAAGTTAGCCGAAATGAACGACTCAATTCCTATAGAATAAAGGAGAGAGAAAGAACAGCTAATTATATGAAACAATGCCTTATTTACTAGGAACGGTTGCTACAAGTCCGGGTTACCTCAGAGATAGATCCATTAGGGAAAAAAAAACACCCTAGTGAGCGCACTAACTCAAACCTGGTTCTTGCACAAAATGTCTTCCTAACATAGGAGCATACCAGCATATCCAGTCGTTGATGGAGCTGATGATTTTGTTTAAGGAGTTGCGTTGATTCTTTTGAAGCACCACCACTACACCTTTTCCAGCAAGTAGCACTGCTGGCCGAGAAGCTACTTTCTGCTGAATACTGCGGAGCAAAGATTTGCTTCCTTATTTTGTAAGCCGACAACTACCTGTCGGCCTAGTAATCTCCCAGAGGTAAATGCATCTTATAGAACCCTGCTTGCGGTGTCCACTGAGATAGGTCAGAACGAACAGGCGTGAAGTTGAGCTCCCCCAAGGATCGTCTTAGCTCGTTTTTGTCCGGGTATTTTTCGGTATGCCACTCCTCGAGCAGAGCAAATGACCGTAAATCCAACCTAATATAAAATGAGGGACTTCTACTTTCCTGTAATTTCCATTATTTTGTTATCTATCTTGTCCGCAGGGGCAATAATTCTTTATTCGAAGGGGGGATTGGACCCTTGGGCACGTGCCTCGATCCCATGGATTCGCCAGGAAACCTTACTAAAGAATAGTTCTATCATTCTGGAACACTTTTTTCATATCTCATATCACAAAGCCTTTCTAATAGGATCACACCCACGGGTATAGTGGCTCCCCCCCATCTTACTCTTATAACGGAATTACAAAATCCTTGAAGTGAATTGTATCTAGAAGCCGTCAGAATTGTACTTTCATGGTGCTAAAACTTCTGCTTTAGACCTTTCTATCATTATGAGAATGATCAAGTAAATTACGTGCATACTTACACTCCCCAAAAATAGTGCAACTGTCTTAGATCCTTAATGGCAAACTCGCGACTTAAGCACAAGATGAACCAATCCAAGAATGACGGAGCTTTTATGGTAATGTTCACTTTGTTGGGCTGAATAAGTTAAGAATTACACATCATTCTACATTATTATTAGACTATAATTGTTAACCTAAGGTATATCAATATGTAATACTTTGAGAATTCCCAAAGCATTGCTTATTATACATGCGGTTTTATCCTAAATTTCATCCCAAATTATGAGATCATCTAACTAAATTTGGCATGCTAAAAATCTTATGACATAACATAATTGTCATGCTAACATAACATAGTTTTCATTTGCAGATTTGTGGGTTCTTTTTGGCAGCGACAGTGATATATGGTCTTGGGTACTTTGCGGCGGAAGGCCTGTTAGAAAAGTCCTTAATGGTTGTTGTAAGTCTTTTTTCCCCCCTATATTGACTTGCGTAAACACTCTGCTTAGAGTGACGGCTAGATTTCATGGTACAACTTCTTGATGTCAAATGTAAAAGATATTATAAATCTTTTTTTCCTCTCTAGGATGTTCTCTGTCATTAATTGGTCTTATGATCATGTAAACATTTCTCTTGAAGTTCAGCAGCTGGTATTCTTTACATTTTGAAGTTCATAAGAAAGTCTATTAATTTCGTTCTGATTCAATATCGATGCTTTAACTGGTTGGATGAACATATGGCTAGCTTATGTTTTTTAATAGGAAGGTCTTATAAGTCTTTTACTGATTTCAATCTGCACTATCATTTAGACACTCTTAGTTGATTCTACATGTCAATTGGTTATGCACGTTTTTCTTTTTCCCATGTGCTTGAATTAATTCAGGGATGTTTTATAAATGGTTTTAGTTCAGTAGTTGTTGTTCTTTGCTTAGGAAAAATTTCCACAAAATAGTGTCGTATTAGTATTAACTGGTTTTAAACTTAATTTGATGTTCTAAACCATATATATTAGTAAGCATGGTGCTTTATTTTTTATATTTTAAAGAGTCAACACTTTATAATAGGGTTAATTCCACCTACACCCCCTGCCAATATTCCACACACATCCCCTCTACGTTTCATAATTCCACCTACCTCCCTTGATGTTTTGGTTTATGTAGCAAATTACCCCCTACCATTAAGTAACTGACGGTGTCAGCATGAACAAATTGGTATAAGGTCAATTTTGCCTTTACAATACTTGAAATGACATTTTTAACCTCATTGACCAATGCAAATTTACAAAATTACCCTCAATTTTTCAGCAAGACAGATCTTCTAAAAAGAGTTATTCTTCTATACAAAGTCTAATAATCCATCCATAGCAATAAAGAAATAAATCAAATCAAATCAAAATCCTAATCAATCCTAAAATTATTAGTGAAGAATAAGGAGCGAATGCCATCCTAATCAAGCTCTAAATTGTAGTGAAGAAGGATGCTCAAAGTTAAACTCTAGAATCAAAGAGGATTCTCTCTGTCTCACACATAGTTACACACACATACATCTCTGTGGAGGGTGGGAATGCCCAATTTTGTCCGTACCGATTAGAACCCTACCATTTCAGGTCAATGATGCAGTCGTCCTCATGTTCTCGTCGGTAAGAGACGATGCATCTCCGTTCAATCCTCTTCACCGCCGTTCAGTTCATACCTACTTCTCGTAACTAAGAACTAGGGATGGCAACGGGGGCGGGTTTGGGCGGGTGTACCCTACCCCGCCCCCATACCCGCCCAAAACCATAAAAACGGGGGGACTTTTCACCCCATCCCCGTAACCGTTTAACATTTTTACCCCCGCGTGTACCCGCCCCGCCCCGTTTAAGACCATAATTTATTTATTGTTGAAATAGATTTGCTATTTTTTTCCCCCTCATCTTTAGTTCTTCACTATTGCAACTTTCCTTCTAATCAAATTTATTTGTTACTTTAATATTATTATATAGGGTACTTAATATATATATCTATATACTGGGAAATATATATACTAATGAAATAAGGGTACTTAAGTAATTTGCCTATCTAAACGGGGCGGGTCGGTGCGGGGCGACCTCACCCCGCCCCCACACCAAATCCGTGTGGGTTTTTATTACGTCAAACCATCCCCGCCCAAATAAGCTAAACGGTCCCCCATAACCGTAAAAAACAGGGCGGGGTGTGGCGGGTAACCGCGGGGGCGGGTCAAATTGCCATCCCTACTAAGAACAAACCCTCGTCGCACATCCTTGCATCGCCAGTAAGAACAATCCAATCAGAGGTCGCCGCCGTCCTTGTCACAGTTATTGTGGCCGCCGTCATCCCCGTCTTGCAGTCTTTTTTGCTCTCTGATTCAGTCAAAAAATCAAGTTCTCTACTGCCGTTGATTTTGCCGGTCTTGAGGCAACATGGCCTTCAACCGTGGTCACTGTTTCGATTCGGTCCTCCATTAACGCCATATCCCACATCCGTCGGAGAAATTTTATTTGCCTTTGCGTTTTCAGTCCTTGCTTGTTCAGCATGTCTCTCACCGTTTGGTTTTCTATGGCCACCGATCGGACTTTAGAGAATGGGTTTGTTGTTAGTCGCCGGGTTTCTCATATTGCCATCGAAACCACCGGAATCTACCATCACCGCCGTATATAAGATTTTCGTGAACGGCGGGCATGCTTCAATAGAGGACGCTGATGGGATTGTTTGGAGGAATGAAATGACCGGCGTGAGGCGAACTGTGACAAGGTCGGTGAAGCTTGCAGTTTCGACAATGGTGATGAAGTTACAGAGCTAGGCCAGATTCTTCTACAGAGCTCTAGCGTGTCTATGGCCGTTTTGAATTGGGTTTCACCAAGGCTCACGTGGACTTCAACGCCGTCGAATCTGAGGCTCACTTGTATTGCTCACGCTGATTGGATCGAAGCTCGCCGGAGTCAGACCTGTGTGTAATGTATGTGTGTGTCTGTGTGTATATGTGTCTGTCTATATATATATGTCTGCGTACATGTACGTGGTGGTTGGTGGTCGACAGTGGTGGTGGTAGGTTGAGGTGGAGAAACGGCAAGATCGATTTTGTAACTCGCCGGAGATCGCTTCACCCAGTTCAGTCTGGCAATCCCTGCTTCGGTAAAGTTCAGTTCAGTTCCTTGCAATTGAACGATGGGCAGTAAGGAGAACGGCTCGACAGTGATAAGAACCATCTTTTCCTATGGTTGTTGTTTGTGTATTCTATCGATGGCATTAGTTTCTTCGTCACCGGCAATAATGAAGAAAAATGAAAAAAGAAGAAGATATATATATATATATAGTGTGTGTGTGTGTATATATATATGTCTGTGAGTAGAGAGAGAAAAAGGGTGTCAAGGTCTTTTCCTTTAAGTTATAAATTTTAATATATAATTCAAGGGTAAAATAGTAAAATCACACATTTCCGTTAGTAAACTAAACGGCGGTGGCGGTTACTGACAGGGGGTGTAGTTGGAATTATGAAACGTAGAGGGGGTGTGTGTAGAATATTGGCAAAGTTCAGGGGGTGTAGGTGGAATTAACCGTTTATAATATTATTGGTTAGATCTCTCCCATCTCTACTTTTAACACACTTGATTTCTGTTAAAGAGTAGATTATGTCCTTTGAAACAGTGGAATAAGAAACCAGAAAATAATTTTCATTTCTGTTTTCTGTCTTTGGCTTTGTTCTTTTCTTTATTGGTAAAACTTTCTTAAAGCGGCTTGAAATTTGTAAACATTTACTGGTATACTTAGTTCTTTTTTCCTTCTAATTGATTGTGAGTGAGGCAGGAAAAAGTAGCCTAAGCCTCCAAATACTGTTGCCAACAACTGTAGTGTAGTGTAGTGTGAGCGTAAGAAAAAGAGCCAAATATTTATATAAATTGGTACAATAAATCACTTTATCACAATGTTCACATCATAACAAGAACTAATTGTTCCGATTTTGAGGAGAATGGGCACAGATGAAAGGGGCATCTTCTGTCATAAATATGCAGAAAGAATGAATGATCGATTGAAGAGGAAAAAAATTTACATTTAGATATTCTCACCCCTATAACTGCGTGCATCCTTCTCTAATTTGTTGCTTTAATCAAGAGTGATATATAAGATACAAAACAGGGATAATCTTCTCCATTTCCTCAGAGTTGGAATCATAAAAGTCACTTGGGCTGCTGGGCACGACCTCCTGTGCACGGCAGTCCAATCCTCTGGGGCTGAAGACACACACTGAATGGCAACTGACAGCAGGGTATCAAGGTTTTCTGCCTGGACTCCTTCACAGCGTGAATCAACAATCTACCGTTGTCATCGATTCTCTGTAACTATAAAATTTAACTGCAAAAAAGACTAGTGCAGAGAAGATAATACCCAGCCAATAATGTTGAGGACCTTCTCGGTGCAGGATGGATCAGTGGTCCACTTTCCACTCACTACTTCGGGCACCAGAACCCCAAAACTATAAACGTCAGTCTTTTCTGTTGCTCTACCAGTTTGCATATACTCTTGCCAATGAAGTAATACAACAGAGTCAGGATAATAGTGACTTGATTCAGAATGCTTGCTTATACAAGATCAAACGATCTCTATATAACAGCTTTACAAACAGAAAAATGAGGCCAGTTAATTAGTTGGCCAACTTTTGTACTTTTTCCTTTGATTGTAGGTGAAAAAGACAGCCAATTATTCTGCGAAGTCAATTTGGGAAATACCATTTACAAAGAACCTACTTATGCAAGGTCATCAAACCAAGAAGTATCACATATCTCCCGCAGTAAAAGTGATTTACTTTGGGAAGTCATTTTCTAGAAGGCACCCACTGGCCACTTCTAAAGCACATACTTGCGGAAAATAATTTGAGGGCAAGATCATATTTTATCTCTATGAGTAGTAATATAAATACCTGGCACTTAAATTATATTTATATTTAGTAGTGATATTAAAATCGAATATTTATTGTGAATTGTCCAACCAAATAATTTTTAATCGACTATTTATACCAAATACAACTAAGTGAAAGGCTCCACTTCCTTATTTGATGCATAATTGACCAATTAAAATAGTAGGTCTAGCAATTTAATGCAATTATTCGGTACAAGAATCATTTCCCATTTATATTTACCAAACTATCAATTTATACATACAACTCCCGTATAAAACATATATATATTGTAATATTTAATGAATTTAATTTTCACATTATGGCTCCCACAGTTTATATGTACAACTTTTGTATAAAACATATATATATTACAATATGGGCAAAGTACAGAAAACCCACTTGACTTGTAATTTTTTCTAGTAAACCACTTATCTATTTTTTTACCAAAGAACCCCTCTCGACTTGTAACTTTTTTTATAATAAATTTCCTGTCTAATTTTTTACCAAAGAACCCCCCTCAACTATCTGAATGGGGTAAAAGAGTTGATAGTTGGACTAGAATGCCCTTTTATTTAAATATTAATTCTCTCAAACTTTAGAAATATGCAATCTAAAAATCTACTCCAACAATTTTATTTTATTTTTTAAAAATAAAATACTCGAGATATTTACAAGAAATTTTTTAGATTTATTCATTTACATATAGAGCCGAATATATAAAAAATTTAGTCCCAATAGAGATTGATTTTATTAGATATCATATTTTGTATCAAAATATTTTCATTCTTTTATAGACTCACCATTTAAAATAAATAAATATTCGGTCTCTAGGGTTAATTTTTTTATATGTTATGCTCTGTATGAAAATGAATAATTCTGAAAATTTTATTACAAATAACCCGAGTATTTTATAAAAAATAAAATAAGATTGTTGCAGTAGATTTTTAGATTATCTATTTCTCTCCGGTTATGAAGTTTTGTTAAACAAATCTTATATTTGTGGAATCCTTGTTTTATAAGCTTTCTGTGCATATGTTATTTTCAATATTTGGATGTACGGTTTGTGAGATATGAATTTTTTAAGGTTGGAAAAATTAAAATTTAAATAAAAGAGCATTTTAATCCAAATATCAACTCTTTTACCCCATTAGATAGTTGAAGGGGGTTCTTTGGTAAAAAATTAGATAAGGGGAATTTATTGGAAAGGGTTACAAGTCAATGGGGTGTCCTTTGGTAAAAAATTAAACGATGGGTTTACTGAAAAATGCTACAAGTTAAGGGGATTTTATATACTTTGCCCTTACAATATTTAATGAATTTAATTTTCACTTTATGGGTCCCACCTGACAAAATAAGTGGGAGAAAAGTTGAAAATTAAACTTCCCCAAAAAGAAAAAACGAAACATTCCCACAAAAAATCAGTTTTGCATCCAAACGAAATGAAAACTTCCCCTCGTCAAAATTAAGTTTGAAATAAGCAAAACTAGGCCAAACGTAAAGCAAATCCAAAACACATTACATAAAGTGATGCTTTGTGATTAACGAGCTTTTTGTTAAAAAAAACAAAATCAGAAGTATTTCGAAAAGAAGATTCTTGTCATTTGGGAATTGTAAGTGAGAGGCAGTGATTTTTATTTTTTTGTAATTTTTTTTCAAAATGAAAAAACAACTATTATCTTATTTAAAGGCAACGAGGGGTGACTTTGGTTATCCAAAGAATTTGAAGTTCAGGTTATTAAGTCTAATGAACATAAAAAATTTGTAAAACCAAATTTTGGAACGCTTTTTACATTGTTTGGAGGTAACCCAAAATTCAGTTTGTTTATTCTTGTGCATTTACATTATTTGGGACGGAAGAAGAATAAACTATATACTAATAGAATTCTGATACAGAAGAAAAAGTCAAAAAAGTAAAGTTGAATGGTATTTTTTTTAGTAGTGCAATATATCACATAAAATATAACCGTATAAATCAGTATTCATATATATATTGTAAAATAAAGTGTAGATTAATAAATTTTTTACTTATCTTGCTTACCTTGCTGGTTTGGCGATGACAAAGTTATGTTGGAAATGTGGCAGTGATCACTACCATTAGATGCTCACTATACGTCCTCTAGTGAGAGTAAATAAAGAGGATTTTTAATTTCGCCGCGGACACACTCACTCTCTCTCTCTCTCTTTCTTCACAATCTCGAACATGGGTGTTTTTATTTATTTATTTTGTTTTTTTGTTTTTTTTTTTTTTTCTACTTTGGTGGTGGTTGTTGTGATGTGGTTTGGGTATGGTTGTGATAGTTATGATGGTGTCTAAGTTATCAGAGTGTTTCAAAATTTTATTTTATTTTATTTTTTTCTATTTTGGTGGTGGTGGTTCTGGTAGCGTCTGGGTGTGGTTTTTTTTTTTTTTTTTTTTTTTTTTTTTTTTTTTTTTAATGTGGTGTTTAAGTGTGGTAGTGGAGGTTATAGTGGTGTACAATTATCTGGCTATTTCAAATATATATATATATATATATATATATATATATATATTATTTTTATGTTGTGGTGGCGGTATAAGTATTATTATTATTATTATTATATATATAAAAACTTTATTTATATGCACATAAGAGATGAAGAAGTTAGTTTCGTCCATTAAATTTAGTTAGGAAGTTAAATTTGTAATTTCATGATTTAAATGGACTTGTTGACAAATTAAAGGGTTAAAACTTAAAGGTATGGAGGGGTGTCAATGCACGTGTTTGAAAACTCAAGGGGTGTCAATGTAAAAAAAAATCACTAACTATTCATTGAATGGCGTTGACCAAAACCTCAAGGTGTTCGTACAATTTACACCTCTTTTTTTTTTTTTTTTTTTTTTTTTTTTTTTTTTTTTTTTTCAGTGACAATCATGATAACAATTAAATCTTTAATCATATCCTGGTATTATTTTACTTTTATCATTGTTATGCGTAATTTTGTTATAAGGTGGAATTTCTTATTGGTATGATCAATAATACAAAACATTGTTTATGTTTTGTAATACTTGAATGGGTGGTATTGGATTTAATGTTGGAAGAAGTTTAGTTCAAATTTTGTATTAAATTTTTTTTTTTTTTTTAATTTTAAATTTTAAATTTAGAGTGTTGATTCAGTACCGTCAAATACAGGTCTATTTGAAAATTAATTTTATCTTGTTTTTTTCTTGCGAGTCTATTTGGAAATACCAAAACATGTAATTTTTATTGTAATTTGAATAGATTGAGTATATTTGGCAAAAGCCAAACGGGAAAGAAAAAAATTGGTGGCACGTAATAACATACTTCTTTCAATTACTTTTGATTACTGTTGAACATATTCTGCAATAAAAATTAGAAACAAAAAATTGGTGACATGACATATTCTGAAACAAAAATGTTATGGTTTCGTTTTGGATGAAAACAGAAACATAAAACCAAAACTGGATCAAGTATATCTCAAAATAAGGAGAGAAAAAATATATATATATGTATTCTAATTTGGGCCACAAAGTACCACATTATGTGACTGTAATTCAGCATAATTGAAGTCGTTTGGTTCTAAAATATTTAATAATGGGTGGTGAAAGTTTGACAATTGTATCGTTTTGAGATAACAAAATTTTACTAAAATTTAAAAAATTTTGAAATAAGAAAAATTCACCATACTTTAACGACGTTAATATCGTTTTCTCCCTCATATTTTTCGAAAAAAGACCTCTCGTTTATTCCCACGATTGGAGGAACAAGCCAGCGATGGTTTCTGTTTCTATTTTAATCCGAACGAGTTAATATCAGTCTCTCTCTCTCTCTTTTTTTTTTTTTTGGAAAAAGATCGTTCACTATCTCTCTTCTCTCATTCATTTCTATCTTAAGCAAGTCGGCAATTGTCTCTATTTCTCTCTTAACCTGAATACCACTTTCAAGATAAGTGATTCCATCAAAACAAGTTAATTCCATTGATTCGTCACTCTTCATGTACAAATTATTTAATCTAAAATTAAATCTAAGAGGTTTTGAAAAAGATGTAAATTTTTCTTATTTTAAAACTGTATAATTTTAAAATTTTTCTATCTCAGAACCGTGTAATCTTTAAACTTTTAATTGACTTGATTTAACACAAATAATAAATAGATTTTAAATATGACGTAACAATCAGAGAATATTTAACATCCAGGCCTAAAATTATGACCCGCCAATAATGGTCCGTATTAATCTTGAAATGGAGCGGGTTTGTCGTGACATGTATTTGGATGTGGTTTTTCTGATCGTATGATCACAGTTGGAGAGACTGGCCGACATAGGTCAAGCTTGTGATTGAAATTTGATGTTTTCATCTACAAATAGCATCCATCAATGGCCATGGCGTCAACAGCGACAACGATAGTCAGAAAGTTGTTACTGCTTCACCCCCCATTCGCACCACCGCTGCCGCCTTCGGCGCGGAGCAAACTAGGTTTCCTCCTCCTCCGCCGCCGTCTCACCACCTCCTCCTCAATCGAAGCCACCAGCAATTTTTGCACTACCGCCACCACAAGTCATACTATTTCTACTCATAATGACAAAAGGAAGAAGAAGAAGAAGAAAGAGAAGCCAAAGAAGGAAAATATGCCAAAGAACAATATCAGAGCAGTTTCAGAATCGCTGGTGAAGAGAAGGACTCGCTCGGGCAAGGAGTTCGATGAAGAGACCGTTATGCAATTCGGAGACATGGCCACTCACATTCCGGTGATGCTCGGGGAAGTCTTGGAGGTTTTCGCTTCTCCCTCTCTCCGATCTTTCGTGGATTGTACTCTCGGCGCTGCCGGACACTCCTCCGCTGTTAGTGCAGTTCCAACTCTACTTTGGTTATAATGTTTGGAATTGATTGTATTTGTATTAATTATGATAATTAGGTTTTTGTACTTGTACCTGCATTGTTTATGTTGCATATGCATATATTTTGGGCGGAGAAGCAAGCAAGAGAATTTACTGTTACCAATGTTATAATTGCAGCTAAAATTAATCGGTAAAAGTGGATGTATTACGGTCCCAAACATATGACATTGCATAAACTAGTGACAAACTATGAAATAAGGTACGAAGGATATATTGATGTAAATGATGTAGCAATGTCTTGAAAATACATTAAAATTTGTTTTGTATGTAGTGTGGTGATTGTCATCATTTTCCAGCACTTTTTTATTTGCAATTGCTTGTGCCCCTGCTATGATAGTCTCTTTGTAGTTTGCCACAAATGCCTTTGTTTCAAACCCGATTGCAATTTTATTTGTGCACTTTCTTATCTGTAGTTGTAAGCAATTATCAGTTTTTGGATCCAATCACAGGAAATTGCTACCACTAGTGCCTCAATCTGATATATTCATATATATGTTTTAAAAAAAACTGCTTCTCTGATCTATGCTTCCAGAGATCAACATAGTAGCAACATATAAGTCAGAGATCAACATAGTAGCAACATATAAGTTAAATTTTCTAGATTGAGGAATTCTCTTTTCAAAGATATGACAATTTATCATATTTAGTTGCATCTTCGAACCATTTTTGGATCATGTTTGATTTTATTTATGATTTCGCAGTTGTAGTTGTGGTTTTAGTCATGGAAATTAGTGGAAACATCAATTGGAAAATGCAATTTTTATAAATATTAACTCAGAAGCCAATTTAAGATTCAATATCTACACTAACCTATCAAAAGGTTACTGAAATCACCTAGAACTAATAAATAAATAAATAACAAAGCAGGATCATTATTACGTGTACATCAGTTAATTGTTAGGGATTACAACCAAAAAAAAAAAAACTTCCAATGGTTTAACACTGTTACATTTAACTCTATTCACTGTGACCTTGACTGTCATTGCGACCAATATTGAGATTTGAAGCCATGTTTGTAAGCCCAAATGGATGATCTCTTTAGTTGTTTTGTCATTACCATTCAATTTATTACAGTGGCCGACCCCATATGATTGTAATTGAGGTATGGAAGGTGATGGTGAACTAATTTCTAACAGTAATAACTTCAGAGGTGTTTTATTTTTAGCATGCAAAGTTTTAACTACTCATTTGCTATGCTGAAATTTTGTACATGTTCCAATGTTTTGATGTTGCATTGGCTAGATCCGAATGCACTCAAGTATCTAGATGCAGGGAGTTCTCTTGCCTCCATTTGTCTTTTCTTGTGTGACTTGCTTTAATTAATTAATTAATTTATCTTTTTACAAGTCGATAGAGTTGCTTCACATAAATCAAAATTGCTCTCTTACATATTATGTCTTTCCCCTCTGTTAGTGAATTGTCATGCTTCTAATATTTTCAATCCATTATGTAAGTAACAGATAATACAGGCCCATCCAGAAATGCAACTATATATTGGAATGGATATAGATCCCGTAGCACACGAGAAGGCTCGAGCTCGGATTGACACTATCTTGCATGGAAATTCTTGTAACTCAACTTATGACTTGAAAGCACATACTCTTTTAAATAACTTTAGAGATATCAAGTCTGTGCTCCATGAGGTTGATGAGAAACTATTGCACTCTGGAGTTGATGGGATCGTATTGGACTTGGGAATGTCATCCATGCAGGTTTGCATTCTAAGACACTTGGCCAGGTTTTGTTACTAAATTTACTACTTGTATCTATGTCTAGCTTTTGGCTTCGTTATGCATACACTCTTGATTATTCTTTTTTCGCTCTTCTTGTATTCATCTATTCAAAAGTTTCTTCCCTCCTCTCTCTCCCTATTAATCTCTGGGGAATTGAAGGGAGGGGAGGAGGAGTTTTTTTTTTTTTTTTTTTTTTGTTTGAATTATTGGGAGGGGTTCACATGCGTTCCCACATTCCCAAATGGTAAATATTCAGGTAGTTAGGACCCTTTTAAAATAACATAACTTGCTTGTCTTATAAATATTTTGCTTATTTGGTAACTTGTACTTTAAACAAATAATTTGGTTTTTCCTCATTTGAAGGTCCAATGGCTACCTTAAAATAGCTCCAATGTCCCATTTTAAATGCTTCACGCTATTTTTGTGCAGGTGAACAATGCTGAAAGAGGTTTCAGTGTGCTTAGTAATGGACCTCTTGATATGCGGATGAATCCTCAGGTTGGACCTGCCAAGTTGATAATTTGCATTTTTACTTCTTTGAGCAAATAGATGTCTTAAGTGCTTTAGTGATATAGAACTGGAAAGTGTGTGCACTAATATTGACCATCTTATGTAAAAGTTGTTTCCTACACTTGAATTCACCTAACTGAAAATAACAACTGTTCTTTTTCCCGCTCTATCTGTTATCACGAAGATTGGAAAATATTATGCATGAAATTTGTTGGTATGCTGATAAAACAGATATTAGCATTTGTTTAAGAATTTTATTCTTGTTAGTTTTGTTAATATTTGGACATTGCACAATCTCATTTATTTCCAAATACTTGCATGTTGCTGTTTATTAGTAGGTTGGGTTGTTCAACACTCAGAATATTAAGATTTCATATTTTTTCTCACCCCTGGTGACTTTTTTTATCCTTTACCGATTGTTTCATGGTTCATTCATGCTGCAGAATGACATTCCTCTTCCATTTTATTATTTTTCTCTGAGTATGAGAGAATTTGATAATGTAAATAGACCCCATTGGGTTAGACTGTTTTCTTAACGTGTGAAATTATAATGATAAGAATAGTTGTCCTTAGATTTTGGTCTGACTTGCAATCTGATCATGCATGGCTTCCTTTTAATATATAGTACTTTCTGCTATTTTCCTCTAGTGTAAGCTTGATTTAGTGTAGATCCATTCATAATATGAAGTTATAGATTATATATTACAGGAATTTTGGTAAATGTGTTGGGGTGAGTTTACCTTGGTTTGTCAAAATTTTTATCTAGTTTAATCTGAAAATTCTATGATCTGAAACTTGGCTAAATTAGAAAATGTCCTTCAATTCAGTAATCAGAGAATAGAAACCATTGCTACGTGCACTAATAAAAGGTTGGACCAGCAAGTGTGGTAATACTGGTTTAAGTTTGAGGGCATTCATTTCATGCAAACAAAGCTTGGGGATATAATTTTCCATATCCACCTAACTTCCCATAAAATTTTCTTGCAAGCAAATACAGGAAAATATTGATTTATTGAGAAAGTTTTGTGAATTTACAATGACGCCCTTCATTTCTTTTAAGTTTTATGCATTCCAAGTAATGAAATGGCAATTTACTCAACTTGTAAAATCTTCATGCTAATCAAATGCATGTTCGAATATTTTACTTTCATTCACTTCACTTTCTTTTACTTTTCCTTTCCGGTATTAGTTTCCATCTAACCAAACGGACCCTCCATTTTTGTTGTGGTGGTTTTTTTTTTTTTTCTAACAACATTTTCCAACATGAGATTGTTGGTATTGGAATGGAAATTGATGTAGCCAGTGGACATTTATGGTTCCTGTTTGCAGCATCTTCATATATTTATCTCCATTAACTGATTGGAACAGGGCTCTGGCAGGCAAGTTTGAAAGCAGAAGACATATTAAATTGTTGGCCAGATGATGAGGTAGGTCGAATCCTGCGGGATTATGGGGAAGAAAGCAATTGGCGATTTCTTCAGAACAAGATTGTCCAGGCCCGTCAAAATGGTGGATTGCATTCTACTAGTGAACTAGTAGGCCTTATTCGGAATTCAACGTTTAGGATAAAAGGTGCGTTTCTTCTTGATTTCATTTGTAGTTTTGTTCTGAATTTACCCGCTTACCTCTCTTCTAAAGTTAAAGATACCTTTGTGCGGACATGTCCTGTCTGCTATTGTGATAGCACTCCCTGTTCTCATGAAATTCTCCATATGTAACAATAGGATTTTGATACTTTGACAATGGCTTAAGCTTATAAGGTATAATTTGCACAAATTCATGTATGTCATATCCATGCTTGATCTTTAATTATATAATAAAATTGCAACAGGAGGGAGGCAAGGTTGGATAAAAACCGCAACACGAGTGTTTCAAGCGCTGAGGATAGCTGTTAATGATGAACTTGAAACACTAAAAGATTCCCTTTATGCTTGTTTTGATTGCCTTGCTCCTGGGGGTAGGCTTGCTGTCATATCTTTCCATAGTTTGGAGGACAGGATTGTGAAACAAACATTTCTCAATATCGTTAATGGCAACAAAGGCAATGAAAATGGAGAGGAAGGTGTAGAAGAGCCGCGCACAAGGGATTTGACGAGAATTGATGATGACAGTTCTCTAAAAGAAGCATGGATTAGACAGATGATACATGGTTGCAAGGGAACCATCCTTACAAAGAGACCTATAACACCATCTGAGGAGGAAGAGAAACTGAACCGACGGAGTAGGAGTGCTAAACTAAGGGTGATTCAAAAGGTTTGAAGACGAATATTGCATTTTAGAGTCACTGATTTGTCAGGAGAAAACTCCTTTTTATGTACCTCTGGTGGTTTTTGCAGTCACACACAGAATAATAGCTTGTTGATTGTGGTTTTTTGTATTTGGTTCATCATTAATATTGACTCTTGTTTTATTTTTTCGTATTTGATTAATCATTAAACTGACTCCTTTGATAATCTTTGATAATAGAAGTTTCTGTCCACCTTTGCAATCATATACAGTAGATGTCAAACCAGAGATTTTGAGTTTTTAGTGTTCCAATCTAGTGTGTCACAGCTAACCATTTTGATTATTATTAGTTTATGTTTAGTTTAAAAATAAAAGAAATACTAGCATCTCTTTTCTTTTCCTCTGTTTTCTTTTCTATCAGACATAATCAGAAAGCACAACGTTTTATAAAAATGGTTTTTTCAAAGCAAAGGCATATCAGACTTTTTCACTTTTCTTGAGGGAAATAAATAAATAAAAATATAACATTATTCAAAGGGTATAGTAGCTAAACAAATAGTAAAAGAAAGAAAACGGAATAAGCAAAATTTTTAAATATAAATAAAATATGGAGTAAATGGTTACTAACTCTCTCTATATTTTTCACTCAGCAATTGATGATAATTCAAGTACATAAAAATTAACAAAAATGCTTTTTCTTCCTTTTTCCCTCTCCTTTTAAATCTAAACATAAATAAACTCTTCGTATCTTTTCTCTTAACTCATTAAATACACACTTTTTCTGTTGTATACTGGCTAAAGTGCGTGTTTGGCATTGGTGTAACGTGTACATATATATGGCTGAAAAAAAAAAAAAAAAAAAAAAAAAACGAAGTGCAATATATATTTATATATATATATATAAAAGTTTGGCAATATGTTGAACATTTTATTTCAATAATATATATATTTTTGGGTAAATTATTTTATCTCAATAAATTTACTTTTCTACTTACGATTTTTTGTCTCAATTATTACAGTAATACTTCCGGCAGTTATATTAACCGTGATTCTAGAAGAGATATTGCATCTCTGTTCCACAATAGCCCATCATAATCCATAGTTGGGAATATTGTAAACAGAGAATCGAACTATTAGATTTAGGAAGAAGATAAGAAGACACAGGTGTTCTCACCATAAAAATATCAATCGTTTTCTTCCTCAGAAAAAGCGGTACGTAATTTCGTATTTGATGATTTTGGTTTTATTTTATTTTATTATTTTTTGTGGCAAATTTCAAACAGTGACCAAAAATATGATTTGTTTTGCTTTCTGGGTCATGATGGTGTGCTGCAATAATTTACTTCACTACGTAATTTGAGTTACCTTCTCTCTTCCATTTCTTTCGCACCTTACACACACATACTTGTAAATCTATATATATAGTTTTTTTGGTCTGTGCACACTTATATGTAGTATACTTATAAGTATATATGTTTATGTTTGTATGGGAGTAGGAGCAACTCATCCAGTTCCAATGAGGGTAACCAGATGTGACTCTTCTGCAATTGCATCCTTTGGTTTTCAGACTTTCTCTGCCCCAAGGTAATTAATTATTTATTTATTATCACAGACACTGGGCCATTTCCCGGGTAATTGATGTAATGGGTAATTTTGAACATTACCAAAGTTCAACATTGGATGTGTTTCTGTCAATTAATTTAAAAGCACATTCCAGAGAAATAAGTTCGCATGGGATACTATTTCAGCTTGTTATTTGTCAAATTATGTTGAATTTATTAATATAAAAGCGCATTCAAGATAAATATTACTTCTTATGTTACAATTGCTGCTTGTTATTTGTCAAATGATGTTCAATATGTGTCTGTATCGTTATACAATTGGAAAACTTGCTATTTCTTTTCCCAGATGGAAGTTTAATTCCGTTAAATAATAGGGGGTATTTGCACTATTAATTGATTTGATTTGATACACATGTGCTTTGACTCTCTCTCCCTCCTAGATATATATATATATATATATTTTCACCATCGGCTGACTTCAAAATTATGCTTATTGCAGGTGGAAAATTGAAGTCATCAAAGTAAAAATAGAAAATTCATCAGAGTCCAACATTAAGAGAGCTTCATTATCTGCCAGGAAGAAGGAAAGAGTTAAGCTGCCCAATTATGAGAATGGAGGTCGAGGCAAGAAGATATATAATATCAGTGAATTTCTAAGTCAGCAATCTGGAGTTGAAGCGATCTTGAACACACGTGCATTGCAAAGTTTTCAATCACTTGATTCTAACACATACAGGTCTATTTTTTTTTTTTATCAGTAGTTGATACAGTGTAATTCATCTCATCCATTGCCCTTCTTCGAGTACATTATTCATGATGATTTCTACCCAGATATACCAAGAAAAGCCACTCTTCTTTACCTTTTATACGTTGTAAAAGGGTCTGATTCGCTAGAACTTAAGTTGGAACACTGGATACTTATAGTTGGGGATATTCAAGTGGGTGTGGATTTTGAACATAGCAATTGCTTTTTGGTAGAGATTTACGGTAGACTATGCGTATGACAAACGCATACACATGTCCCAGACTTGCTGTTTATTTGGTAAGAGAATTTAAAAGCAAACACCATGATGAGTTTTTATTCAACTTCTCAGGGTCACAACTGGTTTTATCGCTTGAATAAGAACAGAAAATGAGAGTTCTTCCTTTAAGAGGTAAAATAACTGGAGTTGAGTGACTTTGTATGATCTATTTTCCTATGATGTCTAGATTCGTCCATGGTGTCTCAGTTTAACTATAATTTTGGCAGAAAAATTAGAAGGATGAATTATACATGGAGTCTGGCTTTTCAAAACCCATAGACTAGAAAAAAAAAAGGGACGGTAACGTAGTGTTCTTGTCCGATTCATATGAAGAAGAATTTCTAGGTCTCTAAATTTTCAATTTTGACATAGAGAGGATTTATCTGGTGTGATCATTTGAATGTAATCTCAGATGGAATATTAACCTTGTGTGTTCAGACAAAGATGTTAGTAGCTCAGCAAAAGATACAGCTTCTAAAATCTATGAAAATTTGTGGGTATTTATATATACATATATATGTGCGCCTTCATGTCTGTGCTGTTTCAATGTGTTGCATTGCACATTTGTGTCCAGAAACACTATAGTTATAACTTCTGTATAATCACGAAAGGTGTCCCAAATGGAATTTTTTTTTCCCTGCTTCTTGATGCCATTATTTATACAGGTGTACTCTCCCAAGAATTCAACTTCTGAACTTTGAAGTGGCTCCCGTGCTGGACTTACGAGTGATCACAACAACTGAAGATTGCACAGTTGAAATGTTGTCTTGCAAGGTAAGCTTCTAGGTTTTAGTTGAAAGGGAAAAAAAAAAAAAAAAGTTTTTCTAGCAAAATAAGGTGTATGGTGAGTGGACTTGGGAAATAAAGTGTTGCTAGCATCCATGTCATTGAAATGAAAATTTTGAGATGGATGATAGAGATAACTAGAAGAGAAATGATTAACAATCAATATGTTGGAGTGAAATTATTGCACATATAACTGGTAAAAAGGAGAAAATAGGCTTGCAATTATTAAAATAAGATAAAATAGACTTGTGTAATGTAGACATATATAACATAGACCAGTAGATGCAGAAACGAAGAGGAAACCTTGTTAAACTAACGCATAAGAGATATAGAGGATAAAGTTACAAACAAAAGGACTAAGAAATTACTTATAATTGGAGATGTAGCTTGCAATAGAAAAGGGCTGAGAATTTATATGACCGGCTTCATTTTAGTGGGATCTAGACAGGGACGATGACAATAATGATTCTCTTCTAGAGTTACTTGTAATTTTATTGGAGTTGTGTGGATGAATGCCAGTTTAATATTCCTCTCTAGCACACATGGTTGAGTAAGCAGATTTTCCATTTGTAACTGTTCCGGTAAGCAATAGTCTCATTGCCAATTTATAGTCTAGGCACATAGGATATCCCACTTTTTAAGAACATGTTAGCAAGAACATGAGCTCAAGATACCAAACAGTTGTGGAAAAACTTCATGAAGTCACTCCCCAATTTGTTATGATACCATAATTGATGGAGGATAATGGTAAACATGGATTTTTTTTTTTTTGGTGCACATGTGTGTGTGTGCCTGGAGGTTTGTGGGAATATTGGATATTTTAAGTTTGTATAAGATGTAAGAAAAGGGCAATCACTTTAATTTGTAAGGGGAAGGCGAAGAATTGCTGATTTTTTTTTATGGGTAAAGTACAGCCACACCCCATGAGATTTGACAAAAAGACACTCAGAGAAAATTTATCTGTTTTTTGGACAACGACACCCCTTGAAGGTTTAAAAATGGACAAAGACACCCCTTTACATGAGAAATTGATCAAATTACCCTTTGACCGTTTAGGAGACTTTTTTAACTTTACAATTTAATCAATTGGACCAATCTACCCTCATGAACAATATATGCATAAAAAAAAAAAGTTAAAACTTGTTTTCCGTTGCTTGGTACCTCCTTGAAGCTGAACAAATGCACACACCATGACTAACTTCATACTAATTCAAAACCTCAGAACCACCCCCAAACTCATTGGATTTTGTATATTCCTCTATCCCTTCATTGAACAATATATTGACATGTACGTGGAAAAAGGGTTGACAAATATGTTGAAAACTATAACTTGTTGTGTTTTCTTTTTTTTTTTTTTTCCCCTTTTTCACTGGGATAGAAAAAAATTGATATGTGAAAGTTAATTCTTTGTAACTTTTTGTATGTGGATCAAAGCATCAAAATCATAAGCATGAGGAAAAATTTATAATTTTAATCATGAGAATGCATTTGAGATAAGAAGAGATGTCGTATTTTCTTTTATGTTAGGAAATGCATAATATTTGATATATAATTTAAGATGCATAAAGTTATACTGGTACCATATTTTTTATTTTTAAGGAAAAAAAAATTGGTTTAATTTTTTTAGATGAAAGAATTAAGCATCTTAATTTAAAAATAAAAAAGAAAAAGAAAAGAAGTAATAACAAAATATAATTTATTTGAAATATATTTATTGGGTCAAAAAATCATTTTAGACGTCTACATTTTTAAGAAGTTAGGACATTTATAAAGTAAATAACAAAAAAGAAAAAGAAAAAAGTGAACAATATAAAGTTTTTTTTTTTTACTTTTTTTTTATGCATAAATTGTTCATGAGGGTAGATTGGTCCAATTTATTAAATTGTCAAGTTAAAAAATTCTGCTAAACGGTCAAAGGGTAATTTGGTCAATTTTTCATGTAAAGGGGTGTCCTAGTCCGAAAAATAAGTAAGTTTCCTCTGAGCGTCCTTTTGCCAAACCTCAGGGGGTGTGACTGCACTTTGCCCTTTTTTTGTTTAAATAGTTCTCCATTTAATTCGTAGCATTAACTGGTTGTACATAGGCCTACAAGTAATCATAACTCTAATATAATTAATCCTCCAGATTTGGAAACCAAGAGTCTTTGACTTGTAAAGCACTACCCAGTACTACAACTTTTCTGAGCAAAGGAACTATGAGCCACAACTACTGACCTACAAATTTGAAAATTATAAAAATATACTCAACTCAAAAAAATAAGAGATCACATATAGACTTCATCAGCATCATACTAACCTAAAAACAATCATAAAATGGGTTAGTAAAACCATAAATAGTTGTTAAAGGCTCAAGGCGCACTAAGGAGCCAAAGGTCTTTCGGAGCCTGAGCTCCAGGTGGAACATAAGGCGCGAGCCTGATCAAAGTAAGGCGTGTGTGTGATTGTAATGTTAATTATAACTATATAAAGAATAATTAAACTATGCAACGCATACTTGTTGAAATCAAAATAAGGAATATTTTGAACATATTAATTCAATAAATCCACTAAATGAACAAATATATATCTTTTCTATTTGCATATGAATTCAATAAAATCAATGTACAATAAGAACAATTCAAGATATGCGACACAAATAAAAAACTTTAAAAATGAAAATTTTGATATATAAACAAAGAGGACCATCAGGTAAATAATGCTCCTAAATCATTTCATATGCATAGGCATTAACCAAATTAAATGTCATTATAAATTTGAAACAATTAAAAACAATAATTATATGAAACTTTAAACAAATATTATCATAAATATTCATAATCAAGCACTAAATGCAATTAATGTAAGTAGTGGACGATAAATTTACGGATCCTGTTAAACACTTCATAAGTTTAAAGTTATGATCAATTAAATATGATCATGATATGATATAGAACATTCTAATTTGGTAGTCATTTGATAAAAAGATGGAATCATTAAATATTAAGAGGAGCGCTTATTTTGAGTCCAGAACCTACTAAAAACAGTGATTCTGAGGGCTTTATGTGAGGCTTAATGAAGGGGCCTGACCTATACTAGGTTGAGGTGCTCTAGCTGAGTCTTGACAAGCCTGGGGCATTTTTGGAGCAGAGTCGCACCTTTAACAACTATAATCATAACACAACAATATATGGTCGAAAGAGGGATTTATTTTGAAATCAACCAATTTCTACTCATCTCTTCTTTAAATTTGTTCTCTCTTGAGCTTTTTATTTACTGCATCATCAAGTGCTTCTAACTAATAGATATTTGGATTAAATCTCTGGGAGAAGGTTTACTGCTATAAATTCAAGAAGATTTATAGAAAATGATGATATATACAACACGCAATGCATGACCTGCGATTGACTGAACCAAGATTTGGCAGTAAAAATAGAATCAATGTTTGGCCAAAGGAATGTTGTAGAATGAATAGTGAAAACATGGATAGTTTGTGGATACTAAAATTGTACCATATTTCTTCAAATGACTTAAAAGGAAATTTTATAGGTATAAAATCATACGAAAATGAGTGAATAGATTAAACACGGGGAAAGATGCTTCACTTTGCAATCACAAAGTTTTGATAGCATCGGAAAATTTTACCCTTTTTGCTGAGGGAGAAGCTGATGGCAGTACATGTCATTAAGATTCTTAGTGACGGACATCTTTAAGTTCATTATCTATTTCAAAGATGGACAATGAATCACATTTGGTGAGAGAAGAAAAGAATTGGGGTAGTATTTGAAGATGCAGTCAACAAACTGAAGTGGCTAGTCATGCTCATCACCATTTTAGTTGTTAACTACCATCAACTCTAAAAGAGGGTGTAACATTAATATTTATATCTTCTATCCTCATGTGTGGTCTTTTTTTTATTTTTATTTTTTTGATCCAACATGTGTTCTTTAATTTTAATTAGCAGGATGACAGTGAGGTTTGAACATAGGACCTTGCCTGCTCTGATACCATGTTAACCACCATCAATTCTAAAAGCTTAGTTTGTTAGAGAGGGTGTCACTTTAATATTTAAATCTTCTAACATTACTAACACGCCAAAGCTCAAGGCATAAAAGAAAGTGGCATGCCCTTCTCCTTGGGCTATACTTTAATAAACTTGTTGCCACTAATTTTACAATACTTTTAATAAATTTCTGTGAAGACTGCATAGATCTTCATCTTGCATAATTGTTCTGAAACATCTACATCCTAAACATGGAACGAGCATTGTTCTAAACGCAGGCAAGCAAGTGAAATTGATGTCTAGGACCATGATAATCAACCAAAACCAGACAAGCGTCTGAACTTGTGGCAGAAAATGTATAACATGGTTTTATACTGGAAGCTAATGTTTGATTTTATGTAACCAATAAGTGAAACGTGTTATAACATACCATTGGATTCACCTTTTAAAATTGAAAGGGAAGATATTGTTTATTTCATTTTATTAGATTGAGTGGAGAATCATGGTTTCATGTCCAGTAAGAAAGAAATGCGATATATAAAACTGGTAAAGAGAATATTGGTTTAACAGTTAACTAAGAAAAAAGAAAAAAAATTTGGTTCAACAGTTTGAACAGACTATTATATCTACTCTGAAAGGTATATCATTTTTATCCCTATAATTATGGGGTAGTATAATAAGCATTGGCTTTAAATGGATTGACAAAATTTGAAAATTATTTAGAACTTGTGCAAGTTAGATCTCTCTTAGTTTGCTGGTAAGAAATCATAAAGGAGCAACTGTATTACAATAAGATTGGCATTCTCAGGCTACTTCCAGCCTCAATATATATATTTCTAATCTGAGCATACAACCTTGTTTGTTCTGTGTGCCAGATGAGACTCTTGCATCTATTGTAATGTAAGAAGTTGTAAATCATGTATTTAAGGATTGCTCATATCAGGATGCTTTTATGACCGCACAAGTAGTCTTTCCATATTTTTTTGTTAGCTTGTTTGGATTCTGATATGTTTTTAATATGGATTGCAGTTTGAGGGTTCAGAAATGGTTGAACGTCAGAATAATCATTTTTCAGGTACACCATCAGATTCCTGGTTGAATCTGAGTGTAATAGATGTTAAATGTATTGCTATGGCACATAAATTGGAAACTTTTTTTTTGTCCCTAGTTTAAATTGGAAACTTATAGTTGGCTCTAGCAATACCATATTTTTCCCTGTGGTGAAGCTTGCAATTAACACCCCACTCGTAGACTGTTGAGAGCTTTATATTATGTGTACTTATAATTTTGTAACTTCAAACTTACCCAAAACAAAATAATAGTTTCATTACTACAAAACCTATAATTCTCATGGTAAATACGTTGTGATTAACTTATTCAATGAATAATAGATCCTCTTGAGATGCTTTCATTGCTATAACAGTTTGAGGTTTAGTATAATTTCTGTACAACTGTATGATCCATCCTTGAGTCTCCTGCAAAATAATGTTTTTTTCTTAGAGATTCTTTAGAAGCATTAGCTTATATTATGTGTGAAACTTCTGTTTAATATTTGCTTTCAACTTGCAGCATTTATGAGAAATCACATAACGTGGGATACAAATGATTCCGAACCATTTTTGGATGTTGACGTGAAGTTGAATCTCGCTCTTGAGGTTGTTACTCTCCTCAATTGTTGAAATTCATTATACGTACTTATATATTAATCATTTGGGTAGGAGCAGATGGCATAAGCAACATTAAGTTTTGGAACACTGATTCTTGACTCTTTTATGGTGATTTTTTCTCCATTAACCCTCTGGGTGAATATTATGGTCGTATAGCCATAAGATTATAGAGCATTCTTCTAGAAAAGTATTTGCGTCTCATGTTCTATGAATATCTGGAGAACTTGTTGCATTTATAAGCTCAAACTACAACTCAAATAAGCACACTAGGATCACAAAATTAGAAAATAGAGATAGTCCAATGTAAAAAGAAGTAACTTACGAAATCAATCCCAGGGGAAAAATTCTATTAGCGTTCATATTCATATTGGTCATAACAAAAATTTTACGCTGGCTATCAAGCTACCTAACGCAACCCTTGTCCTTTTTCGGGGTTTGAGAGTGGCTGTGTAATGATAAGGCACTACATGAAACAGGTGGAGAAAGGAAAATTTCTATTAATAACAACTTAATGTGTCTATATTCATTAAGAGCTTGCTAAACAGCCTAAAGTGTAACTCTGAAAACTCTTAAGCATATAGTAACGGGGGTACTTGGTGCAATGAAATAGCTCGAGCTTACTTTGTGAGGCACAAGCTTGAGTCTAGAGTACAATGTTAGTGATACTGTGTAAAAATAATACCATAGGCTTGGTGTATCTCCAATCCTTTTCTCCTAGCACCTCATTGGCAGGACTGGCACTAAATGGTGGTCCTTTTTCTTTAAGCATAAAGAAAATTGAGGACTAGGGGTGACAGAATTATGGAATGAGTAGGAGAACGAAATTCTAGGGGAACAATCAAAAGGAAGGACCTGTCTCACCTCCAAAATGGGCTTCCATCAAATGGGGAAATGCCCAACAAGTAGACCAGAGAGTGCTTCTAAGCTTCCTGACAGCCACGTCTGGAGCAAGAAGGTGTTGCCCAAAAAGGAGGGCAAGAATGAAAAATAAAAGAATTGGAGAGGCAAAGAAGAAAGAGGAGGTGTACGAAGAAGAGAAAGAAGAGAGAGGGTAGCAACATAAGGGTTCTTCCACAACCAACCACCTCCTTAGAGAGCCAAGAAAAGGTATACTATGAGAGCCCCAGAAGCTTGAGATATTGACAGTCTAATTAGGTGTCAGCATCACCTGTCATTTTACATGGCATGTTACCCAAGTCACTTAAGTTGTCATGGGCTTCGCATCTTACACTGAAGCGGATGAGGATATCCCAGCATCTTAGGTCATAAACAATCTGAAAGAACGGTTCAAAATAAGCATAGCCAAAGTATTAAGCCCATAAACTTAATTATCGCTAAGGTCCAAATAAAAATTGTAAAAGAATCCTAATTATCTAAGTTGCATCAAATAATTAATGCTCTATTTAAAACTCTCACAATTCCAGTGATGCCGTAAGAGTAGATGCGCTTATCTGTCAGAGCCTTCATATTGCTCAAATGGTAAACCAACAACAAACCTCCTTATTTAGCCACTGGGACAGGGACTAATGACAAAATTTGGATTTACATGTGTTGCAAGGACCAGCCAACAGGAGAGGGATGATGGATCATCACTCTTCAAAATGAAAACCATATTTTGAGTTTGTGAATATTCAGTTATTAATTCAACTCACAGTGTTTGACTTTTAGACTAAGTTGAAGTTCAATACCTTGTATTTTGATTTTGATTTTTTGATTTTTTTTTTTTGAATAGGCATTGTTCTAGTTTGAAATGTTTTCTCCCAAGTCAGTTTTGAAGCCTGATTCCTACTTTTGTGAAAACCTGCTCTGAGATTAAAAGTACAGTCACACATTTAATAGTATGCGTTTTAAAATTTATTTAATACATATTTTGTTCTCTTTATATATTTGATAAAAACTTATACTTAAGCTCTATTGAGCTTCTTCAAAATTCTGATACTCACACTTGATTGTCTAGTATTCTGTTAATCTGAAATTAACATAAAGGTTTAAGTTGAATTTTCTTGAACAACTTGGCATTTTTAATAGAATTGGCTTGTTCAAGTTTATAGGCTCCTAAAATCAATTCTTTTAGCCTTGTTTGGCGAAATTATTTTAATTGTTAATCAGTCCTGTTCCCCTGAACTGTAGGTCAGTTTTTAGTTACTAATCTTCAAGTTTTGCGACATGCAGTATATACTTACACAAATAGATTTATTGAGAGATATTTTGGTCAACTTTTCTATTGCATGCCCAATTTGGTATTCCTGTAAGAGCAGTTTATTGCTTCTGCAATTTCGTTACATCTTTCCTTGAGATTGGATTTACCTTTAAATAGTGGTTTAAGATTAGTGGTTGCTTGATCATAAGAGTGACAATTGTCCATCTCATACAGATTTACACAATGCCATTTAAATTAATGCCAGTATCTGCCGTTGAGCGTCCTGGGAATTTGTAAGTAATTCAACCACTTTATTTGACTACCATACTTGAAGATTTAGTGAAAAGATGTTACTTTTAATTGTGAGCTTTCGGTTATGATTTATACTTGATGAATGAACAATATTCTTTATAATATATAATAACGCCATATGTTTGTATTTGTTTTTTATTAGCAACTCCTGCATGAATATATATGACATACCGAACTAATATGGGCAATGCAGTCAGCAACTGTTCTTCTATGCCAGTCCAGCCTATCAAAGGCCATATTTTACTTTGGAACACATTGAAAAATATATATATATATATATTGTCAAAACCTTTGTCTTGAAGTTGGAGAGTATTTGGTGGAAAGCTTTATGCTTGTGGTACGACACCAGATAACTATTTTACTGAAACAACGGCTTTAAATATTGATACTGCTTATGGTATTGGTTGGCCTTGGTATTACTAATGATTTGGTGACAATCATAGAACCCGTACACGAATATACTTGATCTATGAAATGAGCTGAGTGTTAAGCTTTAACTTGAATAAAAAATTTGTACATGCTACACCGGTCTGCTTAAGAATGTACTTCAAAAAGAATTAGGCATTACAGAAAGAGAGTGTCCAAAATAATATAAACATTTTAATATCTATTTCCACCACACTATCAGAATATTTCTCACCAGCTAAACCAAATTATTTCAGCATAGTTATTTTTTGCTATAAAGCAAACATATTAGTAATTCTTTTGTACTAATTTTCTTTAGCTGTAGAATTGTATATTTGTTGAGTACCCGTAATCAAGTTGTTAGCTCATGCTATGTATCTTCCAACAAGTACCTACATCAATATTTCATTCTATAGTATACCAATGTACTGGAAAATTTACTCGAGGCAACTTGTCAAACAATATGCCATAATTGGGCATCTGATCTTAGATCTGAATTGGCCCTCCACAATGGTAATGTCTGGCAATTGACTTTCACTTGCTGCTTGTAGAAACCATGTATCAAAGACTAGGTATTATTTTGAATTAAATTGAAGGGAAGAAACCCTTTTGCTTTCAAGGTATTGTCTCCCTATTAACTAAGCAATAAATTGTCTGTCTGCTTGGCTTGTATATGGTACGAAATGCAGCGTGACTTCTTTCAATCCATTGCTAGATCAGTGTATTCATGATTTCATTTAGGGTAAATTACACCTAGACCCCCTGTGGTTAGGTCATATTACACCTATATGAACATTTTGGTTTTAGATTTCACTTATATTTGAATTAGTGATTTAGCATTTCACTTACACCCCAAATATCAAGCCAGAGGACTTTTGAAGTGTTAAAGGACTATACTACCCTTTGACCTCATATTGATTATTTTTGTGACCAAACTACCCATTGCCCCCTGCCTCTCTGTGATCCTTCCTCTTTTTCTCTCTACCTCTCTTTTTCTCCTTTCTCTCTCCCTTCTCACAAACCCTTACACATAGATATGCAAATACACACAAACCCTCCCGTCGGAACAATCGACTGTAGTCGGCGAAACCAAACTCAATTCGGATTACAGGCTTAGCGAAAACCAGTTCTTCTCCAGCGACAAACGCCAGAACTGAACTGACCCAGTTCCGGCGAGCTCTTAGTGTCGGTGAAACCAAACTCAATTCCGGGGAGCTCCAAGTAGCAAAACCCAGTTCATATCGGCGTGTTCCCAAGCGACGACAAAGCAATGACGAGCGTCTAGTCAGAGCAATTAGTGATGATGGCGTCGGATGTGGCTGTAGGTGGTAGAGCTGTGATGCGGTGGGCCGGCGGGGGTGGTATATGGTGTGGGTGATATATATGTGTGTGTGTGATTTGGTGGAAAGTGGGAACGAAACCCTAAATCGAAGAAAGAAGACAAGGATTCAACGCCGCCGGAGGCTTCGACATCATTGTCGTCTTCTCCACTGTTGACAAATTGTCATCATCGGCGAATCGATCCCCTCCGTCTCTCCCGCTGCCATTGCGACCACCTCCACCACGACCTCTTTCACCGCCAAAGCGACTGTAGCTACCTCTCTCCACACAAACCCCCTCACACAGATATGCGACTGTAGCTACCCCATATTAATTTTCTCCCATCTCACAAACCCTCCCTCCGGAGCATGAGATGAGGATTTTTGCCGCCGATTACGATGCCGTCGAGGCTGTAGGCCTGTAATTCGATGTCTCGCCGCTGAGATATTTTGATTGGGCCACCGTAGAGGTTGTAATCCGACACCCGCCGCCAACATCAACTTGCTCTTCAGCGTCGTCTTCAACAATCGACTTTGCCTTCGATTCTTTGTCACCGACGTCCATTTCGGCAGTGGGTGGGATGGGATTTTGTGTATTTTTGGGTTTGGTTTTAGGTGGGTGGTGGTGATGAGGTTTTGGGTGGGGGTGCAGTTTGGTTTTGGGTGGGTTGGTGGTGCAGGGAGGTGTTAGGGTGGGACGTTGGTGGTGATGGAGGTGTTAATGGTGGGAGCTACCGGTGTTGAATATATACACACACACACACACACATATATATATAAGTGTTGAATATATATATATATATATATGCGTTTTTTTGTCATTTAAGATTATATATATATTGTATTAAAAAATTGAAGGTAAAATGGTCAATTCACATGTATCAGAAGTCAAAAAGTAAATTGGGGTGTAAGTGAAAGTTAAAACCAAAATCTTCATCTAGCTGAAAATTGACCTAACCTCCGGGGGTTTAGGTGTAATTTATCCTTTCATTTAACTAGAATTCTCCCTCCCTGTTTACCGGAAGAAACAAGAGAGAGAATTTCTCCTCCCCAAATACAACACAACTTATTGTTGATAGTTCATCAAGGCCATCCACAGATGCATCCAGACCATATTATCAACCCCTTTATTGGCTTCATTCAACTCCATTTGATGTCTTACAGTTCACTCAAAAAGCATGTAACACTTGCTAGTCTGTTTTCTGGCCTTGTTATCTACGCAAGGATTGTCAAGTACTTTTTACAAGGGGGAAAAAAAAAAATTATTGTCAAGTACATCATAGAACTTTCCCCAACATGACACAGAACATCTGATAATTGTGATATCAAGAAGCTAATATCTTCTGTGACTCTTGAACATCAACTCCTTTTCTAACAATAAATTTTGGTGGCATACAGAATGATGCAAGCCCTAGTTGATCGGCTTGTTCCATTGCTTCTGCAACAATTACTACAATACTATGAGAAATGGGTTCGAGAACAATGTGAATACCTTCCGTGATTTGGTCCCTGTTTTTGGTGCAAGGAAGTGAGTTCTCTGACTTCTTGACAGTTTCATAATTTCAGCACAACAGGTGTTCACCTGTGTCATTCATTGATGACTGAGGATGCTACTTATTGTTTTTTTCCCCTTCCCTCAACACGGTTAGATCCTTTCATTTATTAAATCCCTACAACTATGATATGAATAACTTAAATTCGAATGAATCTTGACCCAAATGATACTGATCCTTGTTTCGTGAAGGACTATTTCTTAAAAATTTTAATTTTTCTGTTTATCGACTTTTGAAAACTTAAATGAAGCTACATGTCAATATGCAAGTGAAATTACAAGTGGTCTTTGAGATATATTTTTATTTATTCTTAAATAAAATTCATGTCTTCATAGTCAAATTTAACCTGAGTTGCCATTTTATGTAATATGCTTCAATTGAAGTTTATTTGGAAAGGTTATTGTTTTCTATTGCCTTGTCATGCCATATGATAGATGTACTTTAATATGAAACTCGCACAAATTTTCATTTGGTTTCATTTAATAATGCCATTCAAGTAACTACATTATTGAGTAGCCTATTATGAATTTAGTGGCTGGTCCATTCAAAGATTCCCTTTCTTGCATAGGATATTTTCAAATGACTCTCTTTTCAAAGGAATCTTTATTTCCGTGTAGGATATTTTCAAAAATCTCTTTTCAAAGAAATCTCTAATTGTGTTTGTGTGGAAGTTGCAAATTCGGGATCAATGGGATTTTTTTTTTTTTGAGTATTGGGCAAATCGTAGCAGACTTGGAGTAAACGGAATAACTGAAGGGTAAAGCTTTTGACAAGTGCTACTGATTTCCCTCTTCTGACTATTGAAATTTGTAATATTCCTTGCAGTTGCAGCCCATCGGCCGACTAGTAGTCGTCCTGCTCAGATCGAGAGTTTTAAGTTCCCTCTAACCTCCAAAAAAAGGAACTACCCTTTCTTCCCCAATAGAGGAAAATAATAATCTGCAATTCATATTCTTTCATGATGTAGTAGTTTTAAAAAACCATAATAATGCCCATTGTATTTAGAAAGGGCATTCATGTAAAGTTGTTATGGTAATCATAGTTGTCAAATGATGTGCCTTATTTGTCAAAAATCGTACTTCTTCTTTCTTGTGGTAATTGATGAGCAAAAATACAGGTGGCATCTGCAAATTTGTTTTTGTTTTTTGTTTAGATGGACTTCAAAATGCATGCATAACTAATAGGAAAAGCAAGAAGGCACAATTCAATCGAGAAAATGTCATTCAAGATGGCTAGAAGCTGTGGTCCAAGTTTGCACACGCACATGATCACACATTCGCTCAGTAAGATGTTACTGAAATATAATATCGCCTTCTGAATTCTTGATTATAAATCTCAGGCACAAATAGTTACACCCACCCACCCACACACACACACACACAAATCCATTGAAATAAAGGTTTCTACTAAAATGCAACACGACACAATAAATCTTCACTCAGTGAAAAGTTCATGACCGGCGAAGGGTTGAGATGGCGAGAGAAAAGTTAGGACCATAAAACCTCATTCTCTTCTACAACCATAATGTACAAAGAAAATCACCGTAAACTAACGGAAGAAATTCTAACATTCACCTTGATCTGCAGGCTCTACAGCCTCCTGAGTAAAGGGGCTGCTGCACAGTAAATATTCCAAAATTTCTACCATCCGAGGAAACATAGCCTACAAAAACTAGTTCTTTTCGGCAAACATGACTTGATGCATAAATTGGCAGTACTAATAACCCATGCACATATAATACAAAAAATTAACCCACCCGTAACCAACATTTTTCAACTCTATAAAATAAAGCAACAATCCGTACTATTGACAACAGACAAAAAAAACGTGTCCCAGATTCTATAATGAAGCAGGAGAATCAACTTTAATTCACTAAAGTAAAATGGGCTCTGCAATAAAGAAAGAAAACAAGCTCACGATGGTATACAATCAATCCATCACACAAAGCATTGCATAAATCCATTGTAACCAGTCTTAAACAAACTGGTCTATGTGAAAGAGGGTTTTTACACACTCCCATACAGATAGCATAATCTAATACATCTCATCTGACCGTCTTCTGCCTTTATTCAACCCCTGTATCTCCCAGGATTACACTCGAACTTGCCAGAGCAGTCAGCTTTTAATGTAACAGAAGAACTGCACAAACAAGAATTCAAACCCAATCAGAAATGCAAACCCTTAGACATCCAAAATTTACCTATAGTCTGCAAGGAGGGTGAGTTAACATTATAGAGATGATAATAAGCAACAGTGAAGAGGAGAATTGATTAATATACTCCGCACTCTGTTGTTTTTTATGCTTACAAAGGAGAATTCCATGATTAACACAATACTTGCTATTATAACCAATTAATTATCAGCCTACAAAAAGGGGCAATAATATGGCATTAGATAATTCAACTGTTCTCTTTTTCAATTAAAAACTAACATGACAAGCTTATGAGAACAACTTTTATTTATTTATTTATTAAAGTTTGCTTTATTTAAGAGACAAATCTTTTCCTATGGTCTTTTTGGGATGTTTATGGATAAAGTTTGAAGATAAAAGGGAGTGCTGCAAAACAGATTTTATGCATTTTAACATGAAAATCCTTTTGGATGAAGGCTTGTCTATAAGCTTATTGAAACTTTTCAAAGCCAGGCATTTTACGTTGAAGAATATACTACTTTATTACTTTGATGGTCTTCTACAATTTTACATTATGACTTTTTAATAGCATAGATAGCACAACATTCGACTGACGCTACACCAAGCATTGCCAAGACCAAACAATTCAATAATTAAGAAAAATCAACATCTGAAATGTGCTTTTCTAATTACTATTGTTTGACTCCCAAAATTACTATTGTTGACAGGAAGGCATCAATTAGATCATAATTTTTGTATAGAATAATAACTTGCATCCAGGCAGTGATAATAACCCCAAAAAATTACCCGTCTAAAAGACGATTGCCAAATAAAACCAGAGGGCTTCAACAATTCTACAAACACAATTTCATAGCAAGCAAATATGGATACTTACATTTTAAGCTATATGTAGAGTCTAAACTCACCACCTATATTGTTGGCTCCAAGCAGTTCCGTCTCAATGCCTGGTTCGTCCATCATCACTCTTCTCATTATCGTACCTCCTCCTTTCATTTGACCGAGAATCATCATATTTGACTCTCTTGGAGGAATTCACTTGCCTGTCCCTCTTTTCTCTTCCACTTTCACGATCTTCTTCCTCCTCTCTTCCACGCCTTCTACTCCCATGGTGCCGATAGTTCTCATCTTTTCCATGCCTTCCATATATATCCTCTTCATCTCTTGCGTGCTTTCTTCCCCCATACTCCTCGTCATCCCTGGTGTGTCTTCTGCCTCCACGATCCTTGTAATCCCGATCACTTCTATTTTCACGATGCAGTTCACCCCCACTGTGACTTCTGCCTCCACGCGCTGACTTATCATCCTCAAAACCTCCTCCGCGCGCTGACTTATCATCCTCAAATGCTCCTCCACGCGCTGACTTATCATCTCTTCTCTGTTCATCCTTGTTCCTGTGTGATCTACTATTTGTTTCAGGTCTGGTTTTAGTAATCATCTGCTGTTCGCCATTGTGCTCTATTTCTTTCCCTGCATTACGGCTTCTCGACTTTGCTTTAGGCTGCTCATCTTCATTTTCAGAATCAACCTTCTTCTTACTCCTAATCATCTCTCCATCTTCGTAACCGGATTTATCCACAGTATCTCTCTTTGACTGGTACATCTCCTCTAATTTCCTGAATGTATCCAACCCAACATCACTATTATGAAGACCACTTTTTTCTTTTCTCCTATCATCATTTCCAACTGCACTAGATCTTAATCCTTTCTCCTCTAGACTAGATTTACGTCCACTTTGCCCACCTCTGCTACTCAAATTGTCTCCACGATCACCTCGGTTCTTCTCAAAGTATTTAATCTTGTCAATTTTCTCGCGTTTGTAATCAGCGTCACTGCCTGAGTTACCGTTGCTGCTTCTCCTATGAGAATCACCATAGCCATCCCCATCCGAATTATACCTCCAACTTCTCTGATTCTTCTCTACTTTTTCACCATAACCAATATCAACATCATCCTCATCAATATCATGCCGTCGCCTGCTACTTTTCTTTTCCACTTCCTTCTTTCTGTGTTCTCTTCCTCCGTCAGAGTCAGAATCACTTTCCACATCATACCTTCTGTCACTTCTCCCATGTCTCTCATTGCTTATTTTCAGGGGACCATCAGGAACAAAATCATCTTTCTCTATCCTGCGATTTCCACTCTGTTGATTCTTCTTTGTATGAATTCTTCTATTTTTCTCACCACTATCCGAATCAGTATCATCCTCAGGATCATACCTTCTGTCACTTCTCCCGTGTCTCTCATTGCTTATTTTCAGGGGACCATCAGGAACAAAATCATCTTTCTCTATCCTGCGATTTCCACACTGTTGATTCTTCTTTGTATGAGTTCTTTTATTTTTCTCACCACTATCAGAATCAGTAGCATACTCAGGATCATACCTTCTGTCACTTCTCCCACGTCTCTCATTGCTTATTTTTTGGGGACCATCAGGAACAAAATCATCTCTCTCTATCCTGCGATTTCCACTCTGTTGATTCTTCTTTGAATGATTTCTTTTATTTTTCTCACCACTATCAGTATCAGTATCATCCTCAGAATCATGTCGCCGCTTTCCTTTTTCACTTTCATGGTTGTGGCCATCTTTAAAACTAGAACCATAATCATCTAGGTCATGCCTCTTACGAGAGACTTCATACTTTTCATCGTCATCAGAATCGGAATCATGTCGCCTACTCGATTTCAAGCGATGCTTCCCCTTTTGAGTTTTATAGTCAGGGCCTTCATCAGAACTAGAATCATCATCATGAAAGTCATGCACCCTACGAGCTTTTTGATATTTCTCACCATTATGAGGATCAGAATCAGAATCATCAATGTCATGTCTCCTGCTTTTCTTGTGTTCCCTTGATTTTTGCTTCTTCTTCCCAACATCATTGTCAGAATCACTTTCAGAATCACTGCCCCGATTACTTTTCCGATGCTTCTTCTTGGTCCTCTTCACATGCTCCCCGCTACTACCTGCATCAGAAGAATCATCCCCATGCTTTCTTCTTTTGCTTTCTTGCTTCTTGTGGCTTCTTGAACCAAGAAGCTCCTCTCCACCTTCATTCTTCCTACTTTTAGCACCCATTCTAACATCATCATTTCCATTTTTAGGATCTTTCCCATGCTGTTTACCATCCTCATTAAGGCCTTCTTTCAGTTTATTTACCGGTCTATCATCATCATCATCATCATTGCTCTCATCAGAATTTGAATCAATGTTTTGCTTCTTTTGATTGTCAAACTCAGACGTGCTTATCCCGAGAGCAGCTCTTAGTGTTTCCATCTGCTTCTCCTTCCGAGCAGCAATCTGGTGGGTTTGTGTATCTGAAACCCTGAATGTGGCAAATAATTGTTCTTGTCAGTGTTTCATAATCACAAAATTGGAAACAGTATGATAGCTACCAAGTACATCAGATTTAGAACACACGCATAAAAATAGTAACAAGAGATGTTTGGAGGGCTACGCCTTTCCGTGTTTGGTGGTGTATTTGGCTCGAGAGGAACAAGAGATCTTTCGAAGAAAAGGAGAATCCTATTTCTATGCTTAAGTTCTGTATTATTTCTACTCTTTTTTGTTGGGTTGTAGGGAGATATTATAGATCTTTAGAGGAGATGGTCGATTTTTTGGGCTCCTTGAATGTCTAGAGGCCCTGTTTGGCCTTGTGTAGTTCTCTTGTGATGCACTCCCCTTTTGAGTGCATTTATACAATTTTACTTATCAAAAAAAAAAAATTTCTTTAAACCTGATAGACATAGATTTTTCCTGCCCTAGCAGTAATCTCTGCAGCTGACTGAAGAACGCACACAGCTTGCTCTCAAGTGAACAATAGTTTTCATTATTAACAATCAAAGAAACATCTCAAGTTTTGGGTACCAAATACATTTTAAAAAATATACCTCCAAAAAAAAGCTCCAATGGAACATGACAATGAAAGGCATCACCCTAAACCTTGCAGCCCAAAGGAAAGGCAACTTAACTGAGTCCCCACTTGCACATTGCTCCCAAGGCCAATATTGACAAGCAACAACTGTGTCATGTTCGTCATATTATAGATGCAAAACATTGAAGACTAAGCAAATGAAATCTTCTTTGACACAACAATTGTGGTATTGAAAATTAAAGTTCTAGAAGCAGAATGCGTACATTCAAAATCTTATTTGATAGTAAGAAAACAATTTTGTGTACCAAGCCTAAGCAGTCGCAGAGAGAAACTGATAGTTCTCATTAATTTAATTTAATTTAATTTAATTTTTATTATTATTATTATTATTATTATTATTTTTTCCGGGGGGGGGTGGGGGGGAATCTCCTAGATTTTTTGTGACACGTCACCAAATTGACATGTTTAACAACAATATATTAAGCACACAATTATAAATAATAATTATTATTCAGTTTGATTACCGATTCAATCTAAGGAATTTATTGCACGTGAGCGTATCATTAAGAGTCCGGTTCAAATAATATAACAAACGCTTTAAGAGGGAGACACTTGCAACCCAACTATATTGCAACATTAACATTATCATATAAAGAACAGGGACCAAATTGACAAGTTTAACAAAAAAATGTATTATATATCTGTGAATAACATTACTAAGGTAGTTACTGGAAATATTAAAAACGTATAAAAAATTACTATTTTTTATATTTAAAATTAAAAATTACTATTTTTTGTATTTAAAATTAAATTTATCAGAATTATAACGAACGATTTTATAAAAAATAAAGAAATGTAGTTAGAAGAGAACACGTATTGAAGAGAAAATTAATGTACCAAAGAATGCGTTGTAATTAACTAATAAGTTCAGCTCGCTTTAAGACGAGCAAACTTTTTGTTCTTTTGATCCATGTATATTTCTTTTGTACACCTCTAAAGCTTACATTAGTGGTTTGAATATATAATCATCATCATTGACTTAATCCACGTATGAATGGGTTCGGCCACACGAATTTTATCTCTCCAATCTTTTCTATTGCTTGTCATTTCACCTACTATATTTAACCTTCTAAAATCATTTTTAATAACCTCATCCCATGTTATTTTTGATTGCCCTCTCCTTCTCTTACATTCTAGGTCTCCGATGTATGTGTCCAACCCATCCAAGTCTACTCCCTCAGATTTTTCTCAATAATGGGTGCTACCCCTAATTTTTATCTCTTTCATGAGTGACCATATATCTTTTTGTCACTCCACTCATCCATCTTAACATTCTCATTTCCACTACCTAAAGGCGTTGTTTTTATTTCTTTTTCAGAGTTCAATACTCCGATCCATACGACACAGTTGGTCTAATGACAGTCCTATAGAATTTTCCTTTTAGCCTATGTATTATTTTCTTATCACACAAAATCCCACCGGCTTGTCTCCATTCTGTCCTCCCCCTCCAATTCTACTAGTTACATCACTCTCTATTATCGATCCTAGATAACGAAAGTGGTTATTTTGAGTAATCTTCTGGTTTTGGAGTGCTATCATTATATTATCAATGTTTGAATCTCTATTAAATTTACACTCCAAATACTCAGTTTTAATTTTGACTAATGCTCAAACCTTTCAACTCTAAACCATTTCTTCATGTTTCTAGTTTTATTGCTAAGATCTCTTTTGAGAGATCCAAGGGCACAATATCATCAGCAAACATTATGCACCATGGAGTTCTTTTGTTATTTCAACTAAGATTAATGCAAATAGACATGAGTTTAACACCAATCCTTGGTGCAATCCTACATTTATGAAAACTCACTAGTGTCACCACACGTGGTACGAACTTTAGTTTTTTGTATTCATAATTCATATCTTGCATACTTTTTTTTTTTTGTAAGAGGTGTTTTTTTTTTTTTTTTTTTTTTTTTTTTTTTTGTAGGGCCCATCCAATTATCTCTTGGGACCTTATCATACGCTTTTTCTAAGTCTATAAAAACAATATGTAAGTCTTGTTGTTTAATCCTACATTCTTCAACTAATTGTCTAAGTAGGAATACAACCTCCATTGTTGATGTCTATGGCATGAATTCGAATTGGTTATCAGATACCATGGATTCCTTTCTTAGTCGTCGTTCTATCCCCCTTTCTCATATTTCATTGTATGACTCATTATTTTTTTCCTCTACAGTTACCACAATTTTGTATATCCCCTTTATTTTTTAAATTGGTACTATTGTACTTTTTCTCCACTCATTTGGCATCGTGGTTTGATTTAGAATATTGTGAAGCAACTTTGTTAGCCACTCAATTCCTATGTTACATAACGTTCGCCAAGCTTCTATAGGAACACTATCCAGGCCTACCACTTTATTACTCCTCGTCTTCTCAAGTGTGTCGTCTAACTCCTTATTGATTATTTTATTTATCATTCCCATGTTAACTTCATTTCCTTGATTTCCTTCTACTTCTTCTGTAGGGTATTCCTCATCTAGTTAATATATCACTATCTTTGACTAATATTGTGTTTATCTATATCCTTATTACATCCAAATTGATTTAGGTCCTTAGTTGATCTATCTCGATTCTTTGCTAATTTATAAATACCCTTCTCGCCCCCATTTGTGCCTAGTTTTACACATAAGACATTTAGTGAGCTTTGTTTAGCTTTACTTACTACCTTCTTTGCTTCGCATTTGAGTTTATTATACGTGTCTAAGTCTTCTTGTAGTCCACTTTTTGGCCATGTTTTAAAGCTTGTTCTCTTTTGATTAATTATTTAATTAATATGTCTAGAATTAGTAAACAATGTCGATTGTAAGCTTTCCCCGGGGATCACTTTACAATCTTTACATGAGGACCATTCCCTACTTCTATACAAGCAATAATTGATTTGTGTTTTACTTATTCTACTTTATTGTTATTAGATGCTATTCTCTTTTTTTAAAAAAGGTGTGAGCGATTGCTATGTCATATGCTTTTGCAAAGTCTAAGATTGTTTCTCCTATCTCATATTACGCTCTCCAAAACCATATCCTCCGTAGATTCATGTATATCCTATCTTATTAACTCCTACAAGTCCATAAAAATCACCGCCTACAAATATGGTGTCGCGACTGTTCTTTGGCATGTTCTTTTCCCATTCTTGTCGGGATTGCAACCGATAGACATGCCTTGGTTTCCTGCTGTTATCGACTTGATAATAGGAGGATTATTTGGGATGTGCGATTTGTGTGAAATTTTCAAGACTGGGAACTGGTGGATAATGTCCCTGCTTTTCTAGAGCTTTCACACAGGCAGGAGTTGGATGCTGTAGGGTCGGATTCTCTCATTTGGGTGCCCTCTCCCTAGGGAAAATTTGATGTTCGTTCTCTGTTTTGTTGTCTTTTCGGCTTTTCAGGGGTTGATTTCCTTTGGAAGGCGTTTGGAAGGAGCGGAATAGAAGATCCTCTGATGGAGAGGAATCTTTTATTGGGGCCTTAAATTTTCTTATTTTAAGTTCTGTTATTTTTTAGGTTATGGGGGAAAATTGCAAATCTATAGAGGAGATAGTTGTTTTTTGGGTTCCTTGAGCTCTTAGGACCCTTTTGGCATTGACCGTTGTGTAGTTTTCAGAATGCGTTCTCCTTTAAACACTTTCTAATACATAATTACTTATAAAAAAATTGTTTTCATGATTAATGATTGTATCTATTCATCTAACGAATTCCAAAAGAATTTCTTTGTATTGTTATCTAATGCTCCAAAAGGAGCGTACACACTTATTATATTCAAGAATGTTCATCTAGGACAATTTCAATAATTATTAATCTATCTCCTTGTCTTCTCTCCTCCACTACTTTATCCCTTATGTAGTAATCTAGAGATCTACAACTACAATGCTTATCCCCTACAAATATGTTTTCATGATTAGGTATACATTGTATCTATTCATCTAAGGAGTCCCAAGAGAGTTTCTTAGTGTTTCCTTTTCTCTCAGAATGAAGATGTGATCTTGCTTTATCTCAGTGTTCTGCAAAAGGTTAGTGATTTTGTCTTTTGTTTATGAAAGCGTTCGATTGTCAAAGTTGTCTTTTTTGGAGGTTGCCCGTCTTCCTCGCCTGGATTTTAAAGGGGAGGTGAATCGGATTTCTTCTCAGAAGGATCATGTGTTTAGGGTGGATAGGCTTAGCACTTCCTCTCGCGAACAGGTTCTTAGAGCTTGCCTCGTTGGGCGTTTTGACAGAGAGGTGGGTTCCTTAGAGGAGATTGAAGATTGGGCCACGAAGACCTGGTTAATTTCGGGCGGGGTTAGGGTTAACTCCTTGCCGGACGGGCTCTTGCTGTTCCGGTTCCCGTCGGCGTTGGAGGCTCATAAGGTCCTTAATTGGGGCAAGAAAGTGTGGGGTGAGGCTCAGCTCTTTATT